CTGAATGCCCTCTCCCACTCCGTTGACATAGACGGTATTGACAACAAGTCAAAAGCCATCTTTGACAACCGGGGCCAACGCTCTCTTCTTTCCTTCCACCAAGCCAGTATATCATCCACCCGCCTGACGCTTTCGTAAAGGTATTCAGCTAGTTCATCCTTCTGGTTAGGGTCATCAGGGTCATTATGATAGTCGTGAGTAATAAGATGACTCTCTCGACCTTCGTGAGGCGTACGAACCGGCACCGGGAGAGGTACGACAGCGTACTCGGCCTGGTAGAGATCCCGGAAGGCCCCTATCGCTTCTTCGGCCTGCCTACCGCCCAGAAACTGGGTTATCCACTTCTCCTTATGCCCTGGGTGTAGTATCATAGCCGACCAGTATGCTGGGCTCTCCATCAATATAAAGTATTCTCTAAGCTTCTGAATGGCTAGGCCAATGCTTTTTCGAAGAAAGGATAGACGATCGTCGTCAAGATCAGATGTTGAGGGCGGCGGGGAGGGTGGAGGGTTATTTTGTAGGTCGGCACCAAGGTCGAGGGAGGGCGGCCTGATCTGGCCGGTCGGCAGACGCCGGGGTAGGTCGATGACCGAGTCGTCGAACCGGGCAAGAAGACGACGGGTACGCTGCGACCATTGTGATGCTTCCCTAGTAAACAACACGCCGTTGTCATCGTCGTTGTCTATGCCGAATGATAGAGGCTGTTGGCTCGCGACCGTGATCTCTGGGTGGGTGTGTACCGGGCCGCCGGTAAAATCGGTAATGGCTTCAAGGTTCGGGTGCAGGGTTCGAAGGCGATCCTCAAGCAGATCGATTAGCCACTCCTGCGTAGCGAGGACTTCAGGAAGGCCAGCCGCGCGCCCTTCAAACCACTTCGTGATCTTCTTGAAAGGTTCAAGAATAGACAAAAAAAGGGAAAGTAGGTGCCAGTCACTCGGTTGTAGCAGGTCGGCGGCGGGCATACGCTTCCGAGGGTCCTTCTCGCTCTGGTTTTTATGGCACCAGTAATCCACTTGGCTCTGTAATTGCACCGCGCGTTCGATCATGAAGAAAACAGAATTCCAACGCGTGGAATTATCACCACAAAGCTGTAAACCTTCGGCTGACCTGTCAAATATAGCCGTGCCGAATTCCTGTGCATCTTCATCGCTGAGCTGATTACGTGCGACATGTAGGAAGGAATCCTGGCGTTGTGGTGACCTCCGAATAAAGTAGACGACATTGTGAAGCTTTCCAACCGGCCCTCTCTTTCGACACATCTTCAACAACGCTTCTTCCTGCTCGGGCGGTAACTGGCCGATGAAGTCATCGTCAAAGGTTCTTCCGAGGTCAGTCGACTTGCTAAGAATGAAGGCCTGCGCTGCTAGGTTGAGGATGTGGCCGAAGCAACGCACACGACGCTTTGTGGCTAAGGAATCCCGGGAAAACCGGCCAAGGCCAGGAATTAACGACTCAAAGGTAAATTTTACTGCCCAGTCGTTCGAATCCACGTTGTCACACTGAAACTAACCAACGTTGTCAGCGAAGCCCTAGTCGTTGACTAGCCGAGAGATGTAGAGAGCCTGGTTCTCGCCGCTATGAGAGCCTCGAAGGTGCGGCATTCCAAGCAAGTCTTGTTGTACGGCGCCGTCAATATCGGTATAATGTACGAAGACCGCTAGGTAGGAAACTGTCGCGTTGGAAGTCCAAATATCGAACGAGAGATGCTTCTTGTATGGCGATGCGGCTAACCTCTTACGTAGGGCCTGTTGTTCAGCCTCAAGCCTCTTTCGAATGTGCTCTCGTATGGTGTTGTGCGAGGAAGGAATTAGGGCGGCTGTCTTCTAGGCATTCAAGTCCATGCAAAAATCACGAAATCCCTTGTGCTCAACGATGCTGAAAGGTAGGTTCGAGCCGACGACTAGATCGACGAGCTTCTCTTCCTGGAGAGCTTGTGAGGCAGTAAAACATGCCTCGCGCGCTTCGTGTTGACCACTTCAAGCGTACGTTGTCTTTTTCCTGGCCTCTCAATACCAGACTGGGAATTGGGTAGGTATAATTTGTGGTCTTTTTCCAAATTGTCACGCGCATTCACAGGGCAACGGAAATGAAGCACTTAATGCAGGGAGGTAAGGCTTGAACTGTCTGAAAAGATCTAATCTCTTGTTTCCTTTGGCAGGGCCAAAAGTCTCTTTTTTATAGTTATGAGTAGTGGCAAAAGCTGGTGGCGAAGAATCACATAGCAGCTTCTAGATCTTTCTTGCTCACTAATCCCAATATTGTGACACAAATGTATAGTCGCCGAGCTTGTTGACTCTGCCTTGAACAGCTTTTCGCAATAGTGGCATGCCCAGTAGTATTCTCCCTTGATGACGGCGTCGTTGATGACCTAGGCGACCCAATAGCCGTGATCACGAATCCACAATGTCCTTTTTAGTGTTTTCCCTGCCCACTTTTCCGGTATGAAGGACCCTCTTGGTATTTTTATCCTCGGCCAGTCTTTGACTTCAATTACTACTAGATCTTTGAGATCTACTCCCTCAAGGAGCGCATCGAACTGTCTAGCTACTCGTGATAGCTTTGGACGAAGGGAAGGAGGTCGATTTTCGGCGGTAGGGAGGCTTGTCGAGAGGGTCGTGACATCAACGGTGGAGGCAGGCATGTTGTCGAGGACTCGGGAGCCAAGGAAGCAGGGAAATCGCTGCAGGAAGGTAGGATTCGGCAGTTTGGTTACAGCGGTTAGCGATAGTTGCATTGCGGCGCCACGGCGGCACTCGAATTCAGGGCATTCGAGGATTTTCCCGGGACCAGAAAATGCAGGGTTGGTCTTGGTCAGGGACTGCCCTGTGCCAGGAAAACCCGGAAAATTGGGCCCAAAAATGGCTCAACCAATGGGAAATATTTACAAATATGCTAATTAACCTGACCCTCAATTTGGCCTGAATTTGACCTCCAAAATGGCTTATTTGCCTGCAAATACGGTTTTCCTTATTTGATTGATTTGACATTTATTTGGATTGGTGCCAGCGCTGTGACAAGGTTGCCAAGGAAACCGCCGGTGTCACCTGCGCGACCGATGGCAGGTTGCCGAGGTGTTTACCCACTATTTCCAGAACGGAGAGTGCCACCAGATCCTGGTGGCCCGTGAGAGCCTTCTTGACTATCCGAACAAGGGCCGTGAGCTGATCCGGAACGCCCAAGACTTTGCACGGTGTAAGCCGTACGAGCTGTTAGCTCTGTTGGGTATTAACTCAAGGAGGAGGAGGAGGAGGAGGAGGGGGCGGAGGCGGAGGCCTAGATCTTAGTGATCTAATTTTGTACTTTCCTCTTTTCCCTAAGTTTCACAAAGGGATCCTATTTACGGGACACATAGATCAATCAAACAGAGCAGTTTACACCAAGGTCAGAAAGCCCCAGGAACAGCATGCAAAATGACTAACGTCTTTCTACGGCTACTAAAAAATCTGCCAGCATTTTCCAGCGGCAAAGGTCTGGTCATTCACTCACATTCCCCATTCAATTTCCTCCTCTTTCCCTCCCCTATCAACTCGTCCTTCCACTAGAAACTCCCCGACACAGGACTGGCTTACATGCCTGCTCGGTTAAAGCCCACCCTCCGCCCACTAAGCCCGCTTACGACTCCGTGCGAGCCCAGGGCTAGTCTTTTACTATGCTCGCCGATATCCAAGCTTAAATACACAGGTTCTTGCGCGAGCCGCTAGTAACCTCTGCCTCTGCCTGGGGTAGAAAGGAGTTTAGCCGTTCACATACGAAGATAATGCAATCACCAACCTTTTCGTCCACATCGTAGATGTTCCTTCTCTCCCCCGAGTCTTCTCTTCCCTCAGTAATTATTCTCCTCCCATTAGATGCTGCCTGCCCCTACTTCGATCTAGTTGCTTTCCGTTACTATCCCCGGTGTTGAGCGCTGTCTGCCTGGTCTATCTCGGGCTTCGCCCTCGCCTACTATTTACAGGCGCGGACAGCGGTCCCCAAGACCATCAGCGCGAAGAAGTCCATGTCTCGATAGCGAGAGGCAGAGGGAACCTGCGCCTCGTTCTGCTCTCGCCACTCCTCGCAGTCCCCAGCCAAAGACGTTGCATCGTCGCCTTCCTCCCAGCGAAATTTTACCTATTAGGATGACTCGAAGGCCTAGCCGCCTCACGACCTGGGCGGTACTCCAGTAGCCGAGGACGTTGGAAGGGGTCAACAGCAGCTTGGGTCCGGGACACCCGGCGTACGCAGTATCCTGAACTCATCCGGACAGCGTAGAGCCCTAATCGGGTCTTCGTCGTTAAAACAGCACTTGGCCGACGAAGGAAGTCTTCAGCGGCAAGCGATGGGGACTGGGCGGGCGGCATGGAATGACTTGCCTCCCCGCCCCCTGGGGCATCAGACTGGAGGGGGAGGGGGGGTGGGGGTGGGTAGCAACATCTCAAACTGGCAATCCACATACTTCGTCTACAGATCAGGGTTCTCCCTTAGCAGCCAATCGTCCTCATCCGCTCAGTGCGGCGAGGCGAATGCTGAAACCTAAGTCTCCAATGGTGGCGAGCTTAAGCCGGGCCTGGTTCCTGCTCGATGACTGGCTCCACAAGTGGCTAGGCTCAGAGGAGGGTAAGAGCCTCTGCGCACAGACTCTGGAGAGCATCCGCAAAGCACAGATTCAAGAACTGACAGTTTGGGGTGTGACGACTTTGCTGTATTGCAATAGGCTTCTCGGGTGTGGTCTGGACAGGTTTTCGGAGCCTCCTTGGGGCGCATACTTGTGGGACTTTGGCCTTGTCTTGAGAGGCCAGCCTGTTTCGTGTTACGGAGTGGCATTTGAGCCGGTGGTCGACCAGAAACGGTGGGTCTCTCCCTCCTCTTCCCGACTTGGATACAATTCCTAGATTGACGAGGATCACCCACCTGTCACTAATTGCCACCTCTTCCACCAAAGTCAAGTATATCACTCTAGACTCTTTCCCGGCACTCTTATTTCCCATTTTTCAGCTCGCAAGTTCTCCCACCTAGTCAGAATGGTAATCCATCCGGTGGATGTACGTCCCTTCGACGGTGGTAGAAAAACAACCGCCAACGGGCCCTCTTCCTGCGGGCTCTTCGCCGTCAACTCGCCCAACTTGACGTACACGGAATCGGAAATCCGGTCCAAGTACGCCTACCATACCACCATAGTCAGCCAGAACGGCGACGACAGGTATGTTGCCACGCCCAAGGAGACCGTCTACAACTTCAAGGTCGACCGCAAGGTCTCCAAGGTCGGCGTCATGCTGGTGGGCTGGGGCGGCAGCAACGGTTCTACCGTGACCGCCGGTATTATTTGCCAACCGCCGTGGCCTCTCTTGGGAGACCCGCGAGAGCCCACCATCTGTTAATTACTACGGATCCGTCATAATGGGCTCTACTATAAATAAAGCTCGGAACCGATGCCAAGACCCTCAAGGACGTCAACATCCCCTTCCACGACGTTCTACCCATAGTCCACCCCAATGACCTTGTCATTGGTGGCTGGGATATTAGCAGCCTGAACCTCGCTGCCTCCATAGACCGTGCTGCCGTCTTAGAGCCCACCCTGAAGCGTCCTTGTCCGTTGGGAGATGGCTGAGATGGTGCCTCTACCTAGCATCTACCACCCCGACTTCATTACTGCCTACTAGAAGGATCAGGTCGATAATCTAATCTCTGGATCTAAGTCCTGCACCGAGCATGTTGAGCGTATCCGCAAAGACATTCGGTAAGAATTTCCGCCGGAAAACAAACTCTTGAGTGACAGTAGTACAATAGCGACTTCAAGGCGGCCAATAACATGGATAAGGCCATCGTCCAGTGGACTGCCAACATGGAGCACTACGCCGACATCATCCCCGGCGTCAACGGCACGGCGGAGAATATTCTCAGGGCCATCACCGACGGGCACGAGGAAGTCTCTCCCTCGACCGTGTTCGCAGTAGCCTGCATCCTCTAGGGCACAGTTCATCAACAGCTCGCCGCAGAACACATTCGCAGAAGTAGTTCTCGTCCAAGGAGATCTTGAAATCCAATGTTGTAGATGATATGGTTGAGGCCAACAGCGTACTGTATGCCCCCGGCGAGCACCTGTCACCCCACCCGGGATACCCGTGATTAACGCGCTGGCCAAGCAGCACAGTTGTCTGACTAACATCTTCCGCGCCTGCGTCGTGTCTCGATCCAGAGGAGTCTGACATGACGCTTGGACGCTGAGCACAAGTTTTATTGACGGCAGCTATTTGATGTGGAAGGGCTACGTTGCAGAATTTTCACAAAATCTCACGGTACGCCTTCCGCCCATACTGCCGCCCCTGCCTGTTCCGAGCCGACATCCTCTCCACCATCTAGTCACCCGGGATCATACTAGTCCTTGCTCTCAACAAATTCCACAATCCGTCCTACCTCAGTTCGCAATCTTCTTCTCTCCTATCATCTACCCTCCTATCATCTATCCTCCTGTCATCTATCCTCCTGTCATCTATCCTCCTGCATCTATCTTAGTCACTACTTCCGTCTTTTTTTTTTTTTTTGGTAGAGGTGGCTGAGGGAGACGGTTCGCTCTTTTCGTATTCGTTATGTCGCCTAGATTTGTGCCACTTTGAGCTCTATTTCAAGCTATAGTCGGCATATCCCTTCATTCCTTACTTTTCAGCCCTTTTTTCGGACCTCCAAGTGCCCTCTTCTCTCCCTTCGCGCGGCCAACTCCCTTGCTGAACGGTGTTCTCCTTTGTCCTTTTTCTTGAGTAATAGTATTCTTCCAGGTGGCCGGATGAATTCCTCGATAGGCAATTCCGCAAGAGGCAATGCCCATGTCATTAATGCCTCAGGCGACAATAGGACCGAGACCGTTGCTTGGCCAATTTTTGACCCGCAATGTTTTTTCCACCCCAGCTTCAATTTCCCCGTTCCTGGCTGAGGTTACTCCCTCCTCTTAAGATCTCGACCGCCTTTCCAGTCGGCCGAACTCATCTCACTTCCTTTTTACTTCTTCACTTCCTCTTTGCCTTCTTCCCCTTTTTCGTGTTCTTGCACGCTCAACAGCTAGGAGAGGCGGCTAGACTCATACGCCACGATGACATCGGCTGCCGACTAGGGGAACCTGGCCTCTGTGTAAGCGTCACCGCAGGGGAGACTCCCGACTCTTAGACTGACATTCCCTTATCTAACAGGTCGATGCGGCACCGATAGACGACGTGACTCGAGGCATTGAGCCACATAATTTCTCTAGGTTCTGATCAGAGTCTGTGGGGGCCTGGAGAGGGATCGGCTGAGACAAATGAAAATGTTAAAGACGGCGCTAGCTACATAGGACGGCCGAGAATGGCACTCCGGCCTAGTGCACGAGGGCGCCGATTCCGCCATGTGGCTGCACGGCGGCAAATGCAGCGACCCGAGGACTTGTCGAACCTGAAGTTCTAGATGCCCTTCTTGCACATTGAGGTTGAAAAGGGGAAAAAGTTGGCGACCCGGCCTGGCGCCGCGGCGGCCGCAAACTCATCATCCAGGCCTTTAGAAGTGATGAGCATTTAGTCAACCGAATTAGCGCTACTTTTATGTTCGCTTTGCTCATGATTTATGCCCAAGGCTGGCTGAAAAAAAGCAATTCGGCCTGCAGCAAGAGCGTGAAGCAGGAGGGGCAGCCACTAGCGCCGGAACCAACAGGACGGCCCCTGGAGTGTGTGGGCTGGCGTGAGCATTTCTAGCACTTGTGTGAACACACCGCTTTTGGAGTCATTTGGGCATGATAGGGTTGTCAGGAGGAAGGTGTCAGACTGCAACAGCACCTTTAGGATTGCGTGCATCAGAGTGAATTGCTCTTCTTCTCGTCCTCCAGTCTTTCCACAAAAGACTCTCTCTCTTATACTTCCTTATGTGGCAATTACATGACGAAACCCAGTGGCGAAGATTACGCATCATAGATTCCAGAACCTTCTAGGCCATTCCATCTGACAGAAGGACGTACAAGGGTAGCGTGCTGCATGGGGATGTGGCGAAATTTACTTGATCTTCTATGTATGTTGCATTAGAGAGAGCTATGCGCATCTGGTTGGCGTTACTTCGGTGCAACATGTTGCTCTTCTGCTAGGGATTTGAATTACGAATCTTTGTCGCTAACCCCTGGCACTAGGCCGGCGTCAAGACAAGGGCTTTTCCGAAACGATCGGAGGACCAATTGCATCGGGGCCAAAGAAACAGGCCATGACGCAATTCTCTGAACTGACCGCCGCCTCCCTGAAGATGCAGATGCTGCCCTTCTGCGGCATCCTGACTCGCCTCTGGGGAACCACATCTCCGGGTTGCGGACCCTTGAGCTCCAGCAGGCGGTGGCAGACCTCGGACAGACGCCGTGCTGTGTTTCGGTCCCGCTGCAGACGAGCACGCCCAACCAGGGGGATTTCGTCGCGCCACGCCTCTAGACGTGGTGACCACTAAGGAAATCGCCCCACAACGAATTCTCTGCCCCTGTCATCGAATTTCGGCATCGTGAACTTCAAATCACCCAACTTCATCAAATCAAGCCCAAATTGCTTCAAAATAGGCCCTGTCGGACCGTCGCGAGCAGCTCATTGAAGCTGCAATATTTGCTGTTGAGCAGGGCGCTTCGCAGAAGGACGCCGCCAAGTTACATGGAATCCCTGCCTCCACCCTCTGCAAACGCATCCGTAGCGCAAAAAATCGAGTAAAATGTAAACAGACTGAAAGAAAGCTCTCCGATACGCAGGAAAGCTTCCTAGCCGACTGGTGCCTCATTGAGGAAGCTGCAGGGCGTGCGCCTAGCCGTCAGGTTAAGAGATTTGCTTAGGCTATACTTAATGAGGCTAGCACGAAAAAGATGGTGGGCGAGCGATGTGTGGATCGCTTCCTACGCCCTCCAAGCGAAAAAGACCGGCCCGGGCACCAAATCAGCCACATGCAGTCCAAGAAGCCCGAGAAATAATCGCCCGCGGGCTTGAGCAATACAGAGAGGCTGAAGAAGAGGATTGAGAACTTTTTTGCTAGTTATTTTGTGTAGAAATACATAATTTGCGCCCGTGGGGTGGGTGTGGGCATGGTGTGGGTCAATTTCGTTGATGGGCGATTTCGTTGTTGGGCCGGCTCTTCTAGATCGGCGAATTTCGTGGCCTGCAACGCCTCTGCGAGTCGCCTATTCGAAATGCCAGTATCGTCAGTGAATTCTCGCAGCCGAAACGGGCCATAACTCTACGGGTCGGCTAAGCCGTCCCAGACGGCCGCGAGGAGCTCTTCATCGGCCGTCTCGAAGACGGCTTCTTGCGGCTTATAACGTCGAATGAAGCCGAGAATCTCCTCTAGCGCAGACGGGAACTTGTTAGTGAACCCGCAAGCGCTAAATTCTACGACGGAGCTGTTAACAAGGAACCTGAAATTCATACCCGCTCACCTCATCCCGTGTATTAGAAGTTTGGCGGCGTAATTGACCAACTGCAGCTACAGCCTCGTTTTGGCGGTGGAGGCTGCATCGGTTAGGGCATGATAGGGTCGGATGATGATGGCGACGAGCGTTGGCAACGGCTCAAACAACTCAATCTTGAGGCTATATTTGGTTGAATTAGGCCACCAAAAATGGATATTTGGCTGATTTGAGGCTAGAATTGATTGATATGGTAATAATTGATGATATTTGACGGCATCTTCAGCTCCACCAAAAAGATGTAAAAAGTTATCCAAGAGGTCTAAAATAGTAAAAAAAAAATGCCCTGAAGCCCGGAAAAACCCATCAACGTACCCAATCCTTCAAATACATGATGATATTGAAGGTATCGTTGCCCATTCTATCTATGCGCCGAAGACCAGCTTACCGTTACTGAATGCCCTCTCCGGGTCCGCTGACACAAGTCAACTAGGCCAAAAGCGGAACACCCTGGCTGCGGAATTTGCCGTGTAAGACACAAACGCCATCACATCCTTCGCGCAGGTCAGACCGCTGAATACGCACAACTGCTTCATTGAACGGTAGTAATCTGTGTTGAGTGCTCTAGCTTACACGGGCGAAAAAAGCGCCACCGGCATGTTCCGCAGCTAGGGTGTTCTGCTTTTAGCCCAGTTGACTAAGACCTCAACGCCGTCTTCCTCCACGTGAAACTTTCGGCATGCTCCTTTTGCAAATGGCCTGCCGCCGAGCTTGTGCTTACGGCCGTGAAGACTTTCTCGTAATAGTGATATGCCCAGAATCGCTGTAGGAATGGAAGGACTCGGTAGAAAGGTCGGATTCGGCTGTTTATTTACGTCGTGATGGTTGCATTGCAGCGACCTGCGGCCTGCCTGGCAGTCAGAGATTTTCCCGGGCCCAGGAAAATACAGGGCTGGTCTTGGTCAAGGAGCGCCCTGGACCCAGGAAAATCCGAAAAATCCGCCCTAAAAATGGCCTGGCCAATGGGAAAGAATTGACAATTCGCCAATTATTTTGGCCCTACGAGTTGGTTGAATTTGACCTCGAAATCGTGTAATTAATTGCTCTGAATGGCTATATTTGATCGATTAAATTGGATAAATTTGAGTTGGTGCCAGTGCTGCTGCAAGGACATGAGGTCGGCGAAGGAGTCAACCGTGGACAGAAACCGGGTCTTGGTCTGCAGCTCGAGGGCTTTGCAATACCTGGCCATGTAGCCGTCCGAGATCTTGCAGGTCCTGTACTTTACACCGCTCCACTCGTCCGTCTCCGTGGCCAGCATTTTGACCAGATCCCGGCCAACAACCAACACTACTTCAGCCACCCTTACTCGCTATGATCAAAGTCCAGCACGATAGAGCACGGCACATTTTGAATGAACTGGAGAAGGCATACAGTACGAGGTGGATGGTAGAGAGGGAGATTCTGGGGAGAAATCAGAATGCATGGTGAGGTTGTTATAACCGGGGGATCAGTGGGAGGTGGATGGTAGAGAGGAACATTATGGGGCAGAAATCAGGATTGCATGATAGAACACGGTTAGAGCGCTGGCACCGCTGTAAAATTGGTAACTAACCAAAAAAATCTAAATATCTACAATAGTAATATTTGTCTTGCTCCCGGCGCCACCCCCAGAGCCCCCCCCGAAGCCCAGCCCCAAGAACTTCCAAAGCAAAACCCCATAGACAACACCCCCCACCACAGTCATCAACCCCAGCATGATAGTCCCCCAAATACTGGCAAAGGCCTCGCAGACCACAACCCCATCCCCCCCTCGACCTGGCTTGACACTACCTGCCTCTCGGCGACTGCGCTCGTTGCAGGGTCCAACTGTCCCAAGGAATTGTCTTGCCCCGAGAGATGTTCCTGTGTCATTGTGATTGTTAGAGATGTGCCGATAAGGGAAAAAACCAGGGCTTACCTCTGAGGTTTGGGCGGTCGAGCCGGACCCTTCGGAGTCATGGCCGCCGGAATTGTCAGGGAGGGCAGGCCGTGTGTTTTTTTCGCCGGGTCTAGTGGGGTGGCGGATGAGGTGGGGTTTTGTGAGGTGCCAGTCGTGGTTGGCGGGCCCCTGGTGCTGGTGTTGATGGTGGTGGGCGTGGGTTTACTGCCCGGGGGGTTTACAATGGGGAGGAGAGGCTGGCGGGGGGGGGGGGGCCCGGCGCTAACGAATGCCGAAAAGAGTATGCACCATAGTCTATTCATCGAGTGAGTCAATTCGGAAGACATAGTGATGAGGAGATGGACACGTACGATGTTGTTTGTATGATTGTTGTTATGATGTGGAGCTGGCGTGGGAAAAAAAAGAGAAAAGGAGAAAAAGGTTGAGCCGGCAGCAGAAAATCAATTGAATGAGAATCTGTTTGCCCATTCGTTCTTTCCAGTCCCGATCCCGATGGGGGCAGTGACTCCTTGGTAGCTGGTTTCCTTCCTGTAGTTTTTAAGCTCAAGCTCCTAAGTCATGGGAAGAACAACCTGCTTGCTGAGAGAGTGCGACTACCTGACCGGGGTAAATAAACCATGGCAAGACCAACCAACATAACGCCAGCCTGGCTGCTGCCGGAGACCCTCGCCTGGATGTTCTAGGGCGTTTCCGTCACTCTTGTTCTCCCGACGCCGTCATCATCGTCTTCACTGGGTAATGACAACTCTGTCAGCGGTCCACCATTATCACAGTATACTCATAGACGGGTCATGCTTTCATTCAGGGACATGATCGGCACTTGCTTGCCTCGAGCCAGCAATTCTCAGAAGCCAAATACACGCAGAAGCAGCCAATAATGAGGCTATTCGTAGTGTGTGTATTAATTGATGTAAGGAAGAAGAAAAGGCCTGCGCCCGCAGGTCGGGGATCTGTGTTGACCCTAGACCATGTGCCCAAAATCACCCCTTTGTGCACTCCACCGTAGTTGTAAAAACCTTGATACGCTTCGCACGCCCCCAAGGCTTCTTCTTTCGCTTCCAGTGTAGGCGCCTAGGTTTTTTAAAGTTAAAGAAAAGAAATCATCGAACCTAGGATGATTCTACGGACCTGGGAAAGTCAAATCCAAACCGAATCTAGATATATAAACCTCTGACATATTCCGCTTCATCCTATCACCCAAGTTGTACCCTTCATCGCATTTGCACCTGTCACCCAAGTTGTACCCTTACATTTGCACCTGTCACCCAAGTTATTACCCTTCATCGCATTTATTTACGATGGCCACTAACGCACAACTTGAAGACGAAGCTACCAGCAGCGGTTCGCAACCCCAGAGCTACACGCATGACTACGCCATGAAGATGCAACTACTTCCTGATCCCAAAACCTCGGGTCCACCGAGAAGCTGGCAAGTCACCTTCTGTTTCCTTTGCCACGACCTGTTGCAGGTGATGCGTCAAGGGCTGTTCTGGACGACATCCAATATTGTGCCCGAAGGCGGTTTCTACACTACGACGTCGGATGACATCTGCAAACCTTAAACTATGAAACGTGTATGGGAGATCCGCGAGCTGCCAGAAAAGCCCGAACACCAGTCCAGCTGGGTGGGAACCATCGCCCTATACGCTACTAAAAGCGAGCAGCTACGGACTGTCCGGTTGGATACGTTGAGTTGAGGAAACATCCTCCGTTGTTACGCAGAGGGGAAAGATGGGGCTCACGTGTTCAACTACTCGCCATCGCCCAGCCTGGCCAACGTCAACTGTTGGCAGGACGACCTTTATCCCCTGGACGGTTCATGGTGGTTTTGGCCGATGGATTCACCTGCGGGGGGCCAACATGAGGAGTCAACCGGCGGTGGAGGCTATGCAATGAAGCGTGAATCAACGTTAGTCAACCCCACTACTGCCAACGCTGTCTTTCCGGCCTTTTGATCATTAGAACCTTGCAGCACAAAAAAAAAAAGCAATGCTAACCGTTTTCATCCAGGGAGCATGGTTTGAAGTGATGGGGGAGAGAAGTGCACTTACTCGACATGAATTCAGAAAGATTCAGGACCCAAGTAGTCGGCTCGATTTTCCGGTATAATTGCGCCCCTGTAATATACATGGGGAGCGTCGTCGAGAAATGTCTAATTAGTGGCCCCTATTCAATCGATTCTCGTGATTTTGTCGCTGCCCGTTCTGCCCTTGTCTTGTAGCGCAAGACAATTTCTTGTAAGACAATTTCTTGTAGACGCGCCGCAATGTATGGTCTCTCCGGGGCGTTGTCGAGCCAGTTTCGGTTCCCCATGACGGCCTCGATCCCCTCCCACAGCAGCCGATCAACGACGTCGTGGAGGAAAAAGGCTCCCTCGGCCACAGAACGGGCCTTTCCGCACTCGCGGACCGAGGGCAGCTCGTCGACGAAGGGGCACATGGCATAGGACGCAGTATCCTAGAGAAACACGCGGATTATCAGAGACCACGAGGGTCGGGCACGTTGGGGTCAGGAACTGGAGACTGTGGGAAAACTTACCGAGGTCCAACCGCCCCCGTTGCAGACGACGACCAACTCCCCTCCCTAGGTTGGTATCGAGATTAGTTCGGATTAATTGGGGGGGAGACTAAACCGAATCTAGGCCTAGTGCACCAACGGCACCAAGCCCCGCAGCGCCATCAACGGCTGGCGCAGCAGGGCGTGCAAGAAGATGCACGTCATCTCCTTGACTGCCATGTGGGCCCAGGCTCTGAGGCCTTCAAAAGTGGACCTGACGAACTCTTCTCGGGGTGGCTCATCGTGGTGGAGGAGACCCAGCTTGAACCAATTTCTGATCGGCGCCCCTAACGCAGCGATGGTTGGACGCGGGAACATGGGCTCATTCATTCTTATCGCAAGAGGCAACTTCTGCTCACATACCGCCTGCCTGGTCGTACCGAGGGCGACATACTCGGCCGCCCCTTCTGCAAGTTCGCTGCACTTATCAGGTGCGACGGGGTCGGAGACCAGGGCGACCCGATCGATATGGTGGTGGCCCCAGGCATCTTCTCGACTGGTACCCAGATGGACGTGGACGTCTGGACCGGGGATTGGGTCGGGTCATGGCTCGCTCCCATTCAAGTTTGCGTGGACTATTTCAAAGGCACATCAGCAGAGTCCATTCCAGCCACAACAAGCCCAAAGGACGGCCGGGGAGAATCCACGGCAGCACCGCGCACCAGACAGCGCGTCAAAGCCGACGCCAAGTAACAATCCTTGGAATAATAACAAACCACCGAGCGTCAAATGCAGAGTGTATATCCTTCCTAAGAGGAATGAGATTCGCTTTGTTGTTGATATCAGGCAGATCAAACCCATAACGTTGCATTCCATTCTATATATACCAATGTCTTTCCTCTTTTGGTATAAGATAGGCTTCTTTGACGGCATAACCAGACCTGGTAATACTGCAGTCCATAGCAACAACAGAGCCGGCGTTGACAGAAGGTCACCAATCGGGGATACGGCCATGGGCGAACTCCCAATCTCGGAAACTAGGGACAACAGGATAAACCACTAAAAGTTTAGCGAAAGCACGCTTAGGAGGAGGCAGTTTTTACCCGAGCCTTCAACGATGAAGTAGTACTCCACGTCTGTCAAGATGCCATCAAGTGGTACCTGGACTTGTGTTGACCCGTGTTATCGAGAGAGAAATAGCTGTTTTCGAAGGCATTCCCAGCGATAATCTGGCATGCTAGCAGGGCTGTTCTATGATGTACGCCAGCGTGGGCGACAATATATTGTTTGCTGACGAATCAATTAACGTTCATGATATGCGAGTTAGCCATGATAAGCGAGTTGGCCACCTTAACGAGATTTGGTGGGGCACAAGCAAAAAGATGTTAGTAAATTGTTAGTGATCTTATCAATTTCTTATCACATTTGGCTGCGCACGCTACCCGGTCTCGTTAAGGTGGCTAACTCGCTTATCAAATACGTTATCGCATATTCGTCAATATTTGCTGACAAATCTGCGATATTCGGGCTCCCAATAGGTGTACGGGATCCCGTGCATTTAATTTTGTACGGGATCCCGTGCAATTACGTAAGCCTTCCTTTTTGGGATGCCCGCGCCGTTATCTATTCTCGCGAACGCGAACGCGTCCGCGTCGCGATGCACTCTCGCGATGCACTCAGTTCTTATCCTGTATAGTTGTAATGGCTAGTCTCTCTTCGTTTCCCGATGACTGTCTCCCACCTGAGGGTGATTACGAGTCACGAGAGGCCCTATTCCAGTCTATTAATAATTGGGCAGCAACACGGGGATATGCCTTTATTGTGGGGCGATCCACTAAGGAGAAATCAGGCAAATTGACGATTACCTACATGTGTGATCGAGCTTGCCGACCCCCAACTACATCGAAAGAACGGCAACGGAAAACAACTACCCGGCGAACCGACTGTAAATTCTCAGTTACAGCAAAGCAATCCTTGGATCAGAGCACTTGGACCTTGAAGCATCGACCTGATCAGCAGCATTTCTTCCACAACCACGAGCCAAGTCAACACCCATCTGCACATCCAGCCCACCGGAAGCTTTCTAAAGAAGACCAATCAGTAATCGACAATCTAACGAATGCGGGGGTTACACCAAAAGATATCAGAACATACCTACATCAGTATCACACCACCTCAGCTACTCAACAAGATATTTACAACCGGATTGCAATAGCTAAGCGAGAGGCTCGTCAAGGCCAAAGTTCTATCCATGCACTAGCCAACCAACTTGACGAAGACGGCTTTTGGAGCCGGATACAGTTTGCACCAGATGGCCATGTTATAGCTGTTCTTTTTGCCCACCCAGACTCAATCATATACCTTCAAACTTACCCAGATATCTTACTTCCGGATTGCACCTATAAGACCAACAAGTACGGCATGCCACTTCTTGATATCATTGGAGTTGATGCCTGCCAGCGATCTTTTTGTATTGCTTTTGCATTCCTCAACGGCGAATCAGAACAGGATTACCTCTGGGCCCTTAACCAATTACAATCCCTTTACGAGACGCATAATATACGGCTTCCCTCGGTCATTCTTACAGATCGCTGTATTGCATGTATGAATGCTGTAGCAACCTGTTTTCCAGCTGCTGCCTCACTTCTCTGTTTATGGCACGCAAATAAAGCAGTTCTCCGACGCTGTCAGCCAGCCTTCACAACCCGTCAGCCAGGCCAGCAGCCCGGGCTTGAAGCTTGGAATCAGTTCTTTGCATTCTGGCACTCAATTGTGAGCTCACTAGATGAAGCAATATTTCATCAGCAAGTACAGGAGCTTGAAAAGTAGTATCTTCCAAATCATATTGAAGAAGTTGGATATATTAAAACCACTTGGCTCGATTTATACAAGGAAAAGCTAGTCAAGGCTTGGGTTGATCAGCACCTACATTTTGGAAATGTGGTTACCTCACGGGTAGAAGGCATCCATGCGCTATTGAAGGGGTATCTCAAAAAGTATACCCTTGATCTCTTTGAGGCATGGCGAGCAATTAAGCATGCCTTAGTCAACCAGCTTGCAGAATTACGATCCAACCAAGCTAAACAGCAGATCCGGATACCAATTGAGCTCTCTGGGTCACTCTATAGCTCAGTACATGGTTGGATATCACACGAAGCACTTCGGAAAGTTGAAGAGCAACGTAAGCTGCTCATCAAAATACCACTACCAACCTGTACGGGCTCTTTTTCTCGGTCTTACGGATTGCCTTGTGTACACACGCTTAAAACTCTACTTGATCAGGATCATGCTCTTCAATTAGATCACTTTCGCCTCCATTGGCACTTACACCGTAATGGCACCCCCCAGCTACTCCTAGAGCCTCGCCAACGGATCGACCCAATTACTACGAATTCAACAATACCACGATCTAGTACTCAACGAGAGCCAAGTGGATTTGAGATAGTTGAAGCAGCTACACAATTTAAGGCATTACCTACGTGTAGTGCATGCCACGCAGTGGGGCATCGCATGAGCTCAAAGGCATGCCCCTTACGGTATGCAGGGCTAGCTGGCCCTGCTGCCGGCCCTGCTGCCGGCCTTGCTGCCGGCCCTGCTGCTGGCTTTACTGCCAGCCCTGCTGCTGGCCTTGCTGCCGGCCCTGCTGCCAGCCCTACTGCTGGACTTGCTGCTGGCCTTGCTGCCGGCCCTGCTGCCGGCCCTGCTGCTGGCCCTGCTGCTGGCCCTGCTGCTGGCCCTGCTGCCGGCCCTGCTGCTGGCCTTGCTGCCGGCCCTGCTGCCAGCCCTGCTGCTCCCCCTGCTTTAAGGGTTGATGACCCACGGGCTATCTACCAGCGATATACCAAAGCAAGAGAAAACTGGTATAATAACCAGCCCCGCAGCAGCATTAAGACCAACCAGCAATACCGTAAGGCAATGGGCTTACCCTCACGATATAATAAGGCAAGTTACCAGTGGTGCCTAGATTACAAGCAGATGACAAAGCATTGTTATACTTCAACAGGTGTAAGGGATTGGACGAAGGAGGAGATGATGGCTTACCTGGATTGGAGTAAATCAGAGGATGAAAGGTTTGATGCTTTAGTCGCGCAGGAAATGGAAGACCAACCATTTGATACTGGAAGACGAGGGGTGGATGAAATTTGGAGAAGGGTAGAAAGGGATATTGAAGAACAGGAGGCTTTATTTTCAGGTCAAGGGTCAGAAGATTGTATCGTTGTCAAATAATTAGAATAGATCAACGGCGCGGGCATCCCAAAAAGGAAGGCTTACGTAATTGCACGGGATCCCGTACAAAATAAATGCACGGGGTCCCGTACACCTATTGGGAGCCCCATCTCCCCTCCTTCAATATTTACAAGCCCTGACCTTATCCAATGCTTCAAACACTCAAGATATTCAACCGTATCTTCACCTAACTGCATTCTTTCCCAAGATATTCTGCGGCGAGCCCCTGAAAATACTCTCTCCGACTCATCACTCATTGCTGGAATAGACAAAATGTTGATTGCCAGTTGAGATAGTCTTGGCCAGCGTTGTTGTTGTTGTGCATTCAGCCACCACGATAATGCTGAAGATTGGATTGGAATTGCAGCTTCTGAGATATACTCCTCGAATTCGTCTTTCGCTTGCATCATTGGAAGGATATCAAGATTTTGAGCAATGAGATCAAATTGGTCGAGATTTTCATCAATTTGCATCGATAATATCGTCGGAGGTGTAATTACTGACTGGTCTTTGTACTCCTCCCAGAGTTTTTTGACTGAGCTGATTGCTGGCCGTATCCATTTCTTATCCCACTTGCGTTTGAGATATAAGGTTCGTCGTGATGGATGAAAAATTACCGCTGCTGCACAAAACGGAGACTCCTCTGTCTTTAGGTAATATTTGTCGAAAACAGCCCAGCTTTTCTGGATCCGAGAGGATAGGAAAGGGTTGGATTCGTGTAACGAAAAGCTATTTTTAAAGTGCTGAGCAAGAACATCTATAGTAAATTAAACCCGGTCAATTGTTGCTTGATCTCCTTCGGTCATTTTTGTTGCTCGATAGAATGGTTGTAGAAAGGCCAATATTAATCGCAGATGTTCCCAATCGTCTGGAGGAAGATAATCCTTTTGGAGAGGTTCATACCACGGTTTGATATATGAATCAATTGCACCTTCTTTTTCAAGTGCAACTTGGATCATCAAATACCAACTGTTCCATCGTGTAGAATTATCCAAAGGTATCATTCGGCCAGCAAGTTGAATGAACTGATTTATTCGAGTCGGGGATCCTCGGATATGGGTGATGATGTTGTGGAGTTTGATAAGAGGACTAAGATCAAGAGAGATCTCAGCTTCCTCTGCTTCAGTATTTTCATCCTGATTATCCATCTTCTTGAATAGAAATGCCTGGACAGCAAGATTGATGATATGTCCATTACATCGTATTCGATTGTCCGATGATGACCAAGAAATTTCCTTCTCACTGAGATCTGCTTCGAAGATCCTGCAAAGATTGTCGTTTGTTGAAGCATTGTCACTAATGATTGTCCCAATCTTCAATAGAATGTTATAATCTTGAATGACGAATAAAAGCGCTTCTTATTGAGTTACTGCATGATGTGATGTGATAGATGGAAGTCCGATAAGTGCCTTTTGGAGTGTTTCCGATTCGAAATCCACAAAATGAGCACAAACTGCTAGGAATAGTTTCTGATTCGGAGAAGTCCAGACATCGATGGAAAGGTGAATCTTTGAGCGAGATGATTGAAGTTTTATCCGAACGATATCTTTGTGAAAAAGCCAAGATTTTTTGATGTGTTCTTTGATTGTGGAATGTGCTGAAACGACTTCGTTTGATACTGATGGATTGAGAACTTTGCAGAGCGTGTGGAATCGAGGGCTTTCGACGATCCGGAAAGGAAGATTGTCGACCACAATAAGCGAAACAATCGCCTGTGTAATAACTTCTTTATTTAGCGCTCGTTTGAAGATTTGAGCATCAAGTTCAGAAGTCTGGTTGATCGTCATTGCTTTCTCATATGGAGATTGCAATGTAGTGTTGCTGAGCTCGTCAACCTTTCTCGGTTGGTTAGGAGCTATGATTCCGTGCTTTCATTGAAGGTGTTGTCGGAAGTTCGTTGTGTTTTGAGCACTCCCTGCTAAGCAGTATTTGCAATAATACATACGGGTTTTGCCCTTTCGTGCTGGCTCTCCATCTTGAGGCGGTCGAGTATGTTCCAGAACTAGGCTTGGAGATCGGCCTGTATCTCTGGAGGTTGAAGAATCCTTAGAAACGAAAGACATCTTCCTTTGGTGAGAAAATAATGAGAATGAGAGGGATTTGGCAGATTTTTGGTGGTTAGGTTGCGTTGGGCATCGAAATATTCGTTGGTTGTGCCAATTGGCAATGCCAGCTGGCAAGCGTGGATATACAGCTGGCCAGTTGTGACCATACAGCTGTAAACTTGACTGCCAGCTAGCTGACTAAGCAACGAATATCGTCAATATTTGCGATATTCCGAATACGGATACATCCGCTGACAAATACACGAATATTGTTATTCGTCGCCCACCCTGGTCTGTGGCTCCAGGAGAAAAAAAAGTCGCTCACTCCCATAACTAAGACAGCGGTCAGAAGCTTGTCTCTGAGGCTCAAAGTGGGCGAAAATGAGGGTATACAGGAGTCGAAAATGGGGCTCCAGAAGTGCACCGAATAAAAATGTGGCGTCTTATCTCTTATCTTGATTAAAACGGATTCCCTGTCGAGTTTAGCTGATAGAATGCCGTTTTTTGAAACGCCCACTACTCCGTCTCGCATAGGCACGTAAAATGGAATGCCGAATTAAAACGCTACGGAATATACCGTGAATAGAGCTCTTAGCGGTACCATGCAGGCTCTTGTAGCCGATATTTACCCAATTCCGCCGAAGCTCCCCTGCTGGCGTCGATAGCTTCCTCTTTTCCTTCCTTGGCTTTTAGATTCTCCGAATATAGTACAGACCGAAATCAATGTCCACGATTTCAATGTTCAAACTTTCTCCGCACGGGTCATTTTGTCCTAGCTGTGGGTCACAGAGTACATCGCAGGTCGCTTTATACCAAAACAAGTCAGCTCCAAAACTTGCTAGAGCCGGGACCCGGAAGCTTGGGGGAACAAAAATGCATTGACTGCTTTCGGCGCTTGGCTCGCGCGCCATCACGTGCGAACAAGTCCTGTAACGACCGACTAATCAAATACAAGGTCACAAGGCGCAAACTAACTCACTAATTGCATATCTAATTGTAAGAGAAGGTAGGTACGCCTGATCAAGGTGGTCACAATGCAGGCAAGAAGGTAGGGGAGCAATGACTTGTATTGGTGTAAGACTTCAACCTGGCCCTCGCAAAGGAAGATGGGCGAGGGCCATTGTTTATATGCCTGCTCAGGGGTTCGGCCCGGGCATCAGTCTGCGGTCGTGGCGCCACGGCGTAGCGTATGCCAGCTGGCAGTGTTCTAGCCAGTTGGTGACAAGTGGTGGGCGCGCACCCTGTGCGCGCAGTTGGTGTTTGGGGTGTCCTTTTCCTTACATAATCTACAATACTGTCTAGTACATACTATACGTATCACTCGTCTCATAAGAAAATTTAGAAGAATCCTCTAAATACGTACAAAGTAATAATAAAGCCCACCCTAGCTACTCCACTTTGCAACGGTGGCCAAAGACGATAGCGTTTCGGGATGCTTTTGGCCAAGAATCCGCCGCTGAGCCTGGGTACAATCCTCCATCAGAGCTAAAGCATTAGCGTGTCGACCTTGACTTTTCCAAGTAAAAGCGAGGTTGGCCATGCTCGACAGCGTATCTGGGTGATCGGCCCCGAGCTTGGTCTTGCGAGTCTCCATCACCTGCACCTCCAGCTTCTCGGCCTCCTCCCACCGGCCCTGGTTCCAAAATGTCGACGCAAGGTTGGCCATGCTCGTTAGCGTAGAAGGGTGATCGGCCCCGAGCTTGGTCTTGCTCGTCTCCATCACCTGCACAAACAGCTTCTCGGCCTCCTCCCACCGGCCCTGGTTCCAAAATGTCGACGCAAGGTTGGCCATGCTCGTTAGCGTATCTGGGTGATCGGCCCCGAGCTTGGTCTTGCTCGTCTCCATCACCTGCACAAACAGCTTCTCGGCCTCCTCCCACCGGCCCTGGTTCCTGTATGTCGACGCAAGGTTGGCCATGCTCGTTAGCGTATCTGGGTGATCGGCCCCGAGCTTGGTCTTGCGAGTCTCCATCACCTGCACCTCCAGCTTCTCGGCCTCCTCCCACTGGCCCTGGTTCCTGTATGTCGACGCAAGGTTGGCCATGCTCGTTAGCGTATCTGGGTGATCGGCCCCGAGCTTGGTCTTGCTCGTCTCCATCACCTGCACAAACAGCTTCTCGGCCTCCTCCCACCGGCCCTGGTTCCAAAATGTCGACGCAAGGTTGGCCATGCTCGTTAGCGTATCTGGGTGATCGGCCCCGAGCTTGGTCTTGCTCGTCTCCATCACCTGCACAAACAGCTTCTCGGCCTCCTCCCACTGGCCCTGGTTCCTGTATGTCGACGCAAGGTTGGCCATGCTCGTTAGCGTATCTGGGTGATCGGCCCCGAGCTTGGTCTTGCTCGTCTCCATCACCTGCACAAACAGCTTCTCGGCCTCCTCCCACCGGCCCTGGTTCCAAAATGTCGACGCAAGGTTGGCCATGCTCGTTAGCGTATCTGGGTGATCGGCCCCGAGCTTGGTCTTGCGAGTCTCCATCACCTGCACCTCCAGCTTCTCGGCCTCCTCCCACCGGCCCTGGTTCCAAAATGTCGACGCAAGGTTGGCCATGCTCGTTAGCGTAGAAGGGTGATCGGCCCCGAGCTTGGTCTTGCTCGTCTCCATCACCTGCACCTCCAGCTTCTCGGCCTCCTCCCACCGGCCCTGGTTCCTGTATGTCGACGCAAGGTTGGCCATGCTCGTTAGCGTAGAAGGGTGATCGGCCCCGAGCTTGGTCTTGCGAGTCTCCATCACCTGCACAAACAGCTTCTCGGCCTCCTCCCACCGGCCCTGGTTCCTGTATGTCGACGCAAGGTTGGCCATGCTCGTTAGCGTATCTGGGTGATCGGCCCCGAGCTTGGTCTTGCGAGTCTCCATCACCTGCACCTCCAGCTTCTCGGCCTCCTCCCACCGGCCCTGGTTCCAAAATGTCGACGCAAGGTTGGCCATGCTCGTTAGCGTATCTGGGTGATCGGCCCCGAGCTTGGTCTTGCTCGTCTCCATCACCTGCACAAACAGCTTCTCGGCCTCCTCCCACCGGCCCTGGTTCCAAAATGTCGACGCAAGGTTGGCCATGCTCGTTAGCGTATCTGGGTGATCGGCCCCGAGCTTGGTCTTGCTCGTCTCCATCACCTGCACAAACAGCTTCTCGGCCTCCTCCCACCGGCCCTGGTTCCAAAATGTCGACGCAAGGTTGGCCATGCTCGTTAGCGTATCTGGGTGATCGGCCCCGAGCTTGGTCTTGCTCGTCTCCATCACCTGCACCTCCAGCTTCTCGGCCTCCTCCCACCGGCCCTGGTTCCTGTATGTCGACGCAAGGTTGGCCATGCTCGTTAGCGTAGAAGGGTGATCGGCCCCGAGATTGGTCTTGCGAGTCTCCATCACCTGCACAAACAGCTTCTCGGCCTCCTCCCACCGTCCTTCGTCGTAATATACGCGACCAAGCCTAAATCCCACAAAATCCCCATATCTTCTCCGGTCCCTATCTTCGGCATTGTTTTTGCTTATATCCGGAAGATGTACCATCAGATGTCGGCGGAACTCAGGCTGCTCCTTTCCTCCTGTCATTTGACAGCACGCCGCTAAAATAAACGTTATATACCACCAGCGCCACAATCGATCTGGCTCGTTCTGCTTCTGCATTGCTCGCCATTGCACAAGACTGTGCATGGTCACTCCAGGCCACTGCCCCTCCGCTCGATGCAGCAGGCTGTAGCGGACCAGTACATCGCGGCTCTGCCGGTACCGGAAACTATCCCATTCGCCCTTGTAAAGTGATAGAAACTGCCGGAGACCGACCGGCATGACTTCGTCAGCTTCACCGTCTAGCTGAGCGTCGACCGTTGTCATGCCAAGACACGCCAGACGGAACAATTCGTCCTGCACAATGCTGCCTTTGAACTGCGCTAGGAAAGTCAGCAGTAGCTCGGGCTGCAGACGCGAATGCTCTCTCTTAATCTTCTCGAGGGTGGTATCCCACACTGTCCACACCGTCAACTGTGTTGGCAACAGCCCCCGGAAGCCGTCCATTTGTAGGAGCTCATCGCGGTGTCTGTCGTAATCTGCAAGATACTGCGACAAGGCATGCTCAGGTGCGGAGTCGTTGCTAATGTAGGCGCCCGCAAGGTCGATGGCAAGCGCCAGATATCCAAGTCGTTGCGCTATCTTGCCGCAGTCGCGTCGGATCCCCTCCGAAGCCGACTCTACGCTGGGCTGCAGGTGTTGGAGGAGAAGCGCCACTCCTTCCACCGGTAACATAACGCCAACGTGCACCGGTTCGCAGGCCCCTGGGACGAGCCTCACGCTTCTGTCGTCGCGGCTGGTTACGACGACGCTTCCCCGGTTCCCCTTTGGCATGATATTCTGGATCCCCCAGCTGACATCGTCTGCATTGTCAACAATCACCAGCCATTCGTTATCTGTCTCTGTTCTGTCGCGAAGCCATCGGAGCACTGCTTGCACGACTCCGTCTGCCAGAACGGACTCTTGCTTCTCCGCACGCTCCTCTGGAAGCCTAAGCTCGGCGGCACATCGTCTGAAGCTAGATCGCACTGCCTCCTCGTCTGTCGCGTCGATCCAGAAGATGGGGTTGTATCGATCTTTATGCTTCTCGGCGTAGGCTAGCGCCAGCTGGGATTTGCCAGTCCCACCTAATCCGTAAAGAGCAACCGCGTATGGAACGCTTGCTTTCTCGTGCCGTATCTGGAGCTTCTGCTCGAGTTTCGCCGACAGCTCGGCTCGCTCCGTATAGGTATGCACCGTCTCAAGCGGGACAGCGTAGTAACGCTTCACCGTTTGAGTGCAGGACTTTGTTACTTCCATCAACTTCGAAAGTATTATCATGTAGCTTTCGTTTTTTGATGTAAACTTATTGAGCCCATAGTGGTCAACAGATAGCCCGATGTTTCGAACGTTTCGGTACTCATAGGTGGCGGACTGCTCGCGGACACACTGGATCTGGCATTAGCATTCGCACCGTCTAGGCTGACATCCCACGGTAATTACAAATTGCTGCCATTGAACGAACCATGTCCGGAGAATTTGCGTCGGTCTCTTCTCAAAGAAGTTAAAAACACGTAAGTCGTCTGGTGCAGCCGCTACAAAGTCCTTATGTAGGTCGAGCAACGAAGTTGAATCATATCCCAAATTAGCCAGCAGCAGTGGATTCGACCCAAGCGGCTGAAGAGCTTGTGCCGCTAACCAGCCCCATGTGCCGAAGCTGGTCCCGCGATGCGGCGCACCTAGGAAGAGAATCGCCTTAGTATGGTCAACGATGTGGCCAAAGTCTCGCCTCGCTCGGGCTTGAACAAGTGCCTACTACAGTCAGTATACGCCGTTATCTAGAGCGGCTTGTCGGCTTACCCGTTTGACAACCAGACCACCAAAGCTGTACGCCACGAAGATCAAGTTCCGGCTTTTCTCCTAGGGCCGGAGCGCGTCAGCAATATTCCAAAGCCGAGCCTAATCTTCAATACTCACCATCTCGGACGCACGGATCCCCCCATTGATGTGCTCAAGGAGCTCATTTCCGAGGTTTGTCAACCGTGTATGCACCGCATCCCTCTTCCAGTATGAGTCGTAGTTGTAAAAGAATATGCGAATGTCGGTGCTGCCCGTCGGAAGAATGTCGCAGGGGAGAAAGTCGCTGACCCAGTTCACGAGCTCGCTATCCGGCGCCGCTTCCCCAGGTATGTTGCCCCCGGTTATAGGTTTCGTCGCTCGCCACGTCGTATCGGGGTTAGATCCTAGGCCGTGGACGAAGACAATACTACCTCTGTTAGAAATCTCGCGTTGCAGCAGCAGCCTCGGTTGCACGTACTCAAATCCGTCTGCCTGCCTGGGCAAACCGTTGGCGCCCGCTGGGACGAGTTCGAATCTCGCCTTCGGGGCTTGGTTAAAGTCTAGCCGGCTTGGTACTCTCTTTGCGGCTTGGCCGTAGAGAAACGCGACCGAGAGGAGAAAGATGAGGAGGTATGCTGTCGTCGTCAAGTCCATGGCGGCTCGGCTGCTTCCGTAGTGGGGTCGACCCCGCTCCTTCAGATGATCGGGTCTGTGCAGTTTCTCGTCGCAGCCGATGTCACCTCCCGGCTTATCAACGGCCCTAGGGTTTGGTGTGTGTAGGTGTGTTTGCTTTGCGTGGTAGCTTTGACGTTTGTAGCTGGGTCGCTAGATAGTACTGTAGAAAGCGGTATTGGACTCTGCACAGAACGAAAAGCGTTGGAATATTTCAGCCCACCGTAAGCGAGTTGTTGTTGCCTGAGGTTGGAAGCGTCCGCCCTGCGGGGTGGGGTGCCCGCTCCATCGTCAGCGATCGACGTCCAATTACGACGAGGCGACCAGCTAAGCCCCTCATGAGGCACTTTTCACCATGACTGTCTGCCTGATGGCCAACAAATTACCTCCAACTCGCCATCTAAATACAACAGATGTCTACTTTAATCCATTCTCAAATTCCTTTTCCACCATCCTGTGCTCCGAATACAGACCGTCTCAGCCCTTACGATGGCGTAAGCATTCAAAATGGCTCATCCGAACCAGAAAACGCGGCAGGATCTATAACGCATGTACCAGGAGATCCCTCTATCAGTCTTCTCCCCGACAACGTCTATAATTATCTCTCTCATCACCTGGAAACTGTGCTCCTGGACGAGCTTTACGAGAAGCTCTGGATTGTCGCGAAGAAGTCTAGCCGAAACATTGACCCGCTCCATACGCAAAAGGTCAAAGGCCGAAGCATTGTCCCTACTGAGGATCCCAGACTCCATCTCACATGGCACCCGGACAGAATCTACATAAAGCCCATTCCTGTATTCCTACTCAACTACGAATTTTGGACAACATATCTACAGCCTTCGACGCAGAATTCATCTTCAGGCTTCGACAGCTCGATTGCAGTTGGATTCTTGCGGTCATATGCTTTACTCGTGCCGCATCGTCTGGACTTCATGTTGGCGAAAGAGGCCTACCTGATTCCTGACGATGTAAGTGACTGGCTTCAATGGTCAAAATTCATCACCCACTTCCGCCATCTCTCTGATGAGAGCGTCGCGAGGCGATATCATTACGGGCAGTTGCGCATCTCGCGGCTGAACTGGGCCGTCCGAATATTCCGCCCGCGACACGCGAGGACGATGTGGTTCTACGAGATCCCCCATTGGTCTATCACCAGCTTTGTATCGAGGGCGACTATACCTCTGTTGTTTATCTTTGCCGGTATATCCCTTGTTCTATCATCCATGCAAGTTGCACTCTCAGTGCCGACAGATGACCCTTGGTTTGATGGGCTGAGCGAGTCTGGACTACAAGATATAGGTCGAGGATTTTGGGTGTTCTCTATCGCTATAATACTGGGTTGGGTAGCTCTCTGGGCCCTCTTTCTCAGCATCCCAATTGTTACCCTGGTATGGCAAGTTTCATGGGGATTTGCGAGAGAGAAGAAGCGACGTGCGAGGGTTTTTGCTGCTTGAAATGAGGAACAGGCTGAGGTTGCCAACAGCCGGGTGGCGTTTTGGTAGGAACCGGCTTCTCGGTTAAGTGGAAGTCCTAGCCGCAGATTCGGTCTCTCTTTCGAGGAGCAAGGTCGAATGTCGGTACTCGAAACAGTTCAGGCGAGTGTTGGCGGGGAGGGTTGATGGTGCCAGGAGCGGCGGCCGGCCTGTCAGCATTCAATACAGATGAAAGTGTTGTCAACCCGGGCCGCTACCCCTATATACTAGACTTAATATATAGTGGCCCGTTCTCGTGACGCGCGCTCGGGTGAATATGTTTGACCGTCTCCCGTGGTGGTTTACTGCAGCACGCAGGGCGGTGCTAGGCCGGCCCGCTAGCTTTGCCGCCTTCCCATGTAAAGTACGATAACGGCTAATGAGAATACGATCATGGTAGCAGCCAAGAGATGGGACGGGCATATTGGGTGTATGCGATTAATAGTGGGTCCGTGACCAGGTGGGGGGAAAAGTCGCTCACTCCCATAACTAAGACAGCGATTAGTGGCTTATCTATGGGAGAGCGGACGGGATCCCGAGTTCTCCACTATCTATGGCCGTATGTATAATGTAGACGCGGAAATCTCATTTATAACTATGCACCTCGGATTGAAAGGTGGCAAGCGGTTGACAAAAAAAGACGAACTCATTACTTTAAGGTACATCCTTGGGGGCCAGATTTACATATAAATCTAGGTATCTCTATGTAGTGGCTGTTACCACCCTGTCATACGACCATCGCCCTCTAACACATCTTGCATCCGCCTTACCATGGAATCTACGTACTCATTGATTTTCGCTTGAATCAGTCGCCTCCATCCTTCAACTGCCAGGTCCATGATATTCGCATCAATTCGAAGATTGGCACGGATATACTGCTTTACAGCCCTCCAGCAATTCGAAGATTGGCGATAAATCTGGAGAGCCAGGGGTATTGAAGTAATGCTTCAATCCGTGGTCTTGCTTCCACTGCTTTACGATATTCCCACGCTTCAAATTTCCACCTCCATGCCCTGAATCTCCGTCTTCTTCCAGCACGAAAGCATCGCCACGGAGAAGCCAAGGACCAACAACCTTCTCCAGAATCTCGTCGCGATAGGTCTGCAAGCTCATCTTTCCATTGGTATTTGTTGGGACTTCGTAAAATACATCTCGGACTTGAAATTCCATCCGACGGCCGCCCAGACGTGATATCTTCGGATTTCAGTTCCCGCCGCTGGTTCAGGCTCCTGGTGGTGAATACAATCTGGACAATAACGCTCCCCTGGCTTCCTAATAATCCGAATCTTTCCTTCGGAAAAGAGTCCAAAATGGCATTCATCCGACCACCGGATATCGTGCCAGTCCTCTGGACGAGCGATATGGAAGCGCGAGCTTGGCGGCTTGCATACGGCGGTTGGCACTTAATGGAGAAACAAATCCTTTTTCGCAAGTGATGCATTTTCGGTATTTCAAGGTCCCCATCGCTCGCTCAATCGTCCTTGCGGATGCGTGGATACCGGTCATTAGGCCTAGACCTTGCCAAGTCAAGATGCGCGCCTGGAAGCCATACTGCCAGATGACTTCCTCCATTCGATGTAGGTCCTCGGCCGAGATGATATGCTTCCGGCCTCGTGTTTCGTGATCTGGATGCCTCCGGTCCTTGGCATTGCGCAGGATCTCCCAGCCCTGGGTTCTACTGCGGATGCCGAACTCTTTGAAAAGATCAGTGTGGAAGTACTGAGCGTGGTGGTGGTCGAGGAATGCAGCTGTTCCAATGAGGTGCGCCTTCACTGGCGTTGGGTAATGCGGTGCCATGATGGCAGTGATGGTGGTGATGGACTGGCGGTGTGGTGCCAGCAGTGGTGGTGTGAGTCGAATGCCATCAAATGTTGTAAAATTGGTAGTGTCTGCTAGTGTAAAGCCGCCCGCACAGACCAATCCATCTTTGCAGTTCGTGTTATTTTGCCAACCGCTTGGGTGGGTATAAGATGGACAAGGCTCTAAGACGGAAGTCGGCATTGAGCTCTAGTACGGGATCTATGGTCTCCTTTCTAGGATAAATCATACCGTATTACATGTTTATGCGCGGCTAATTACCACGCGGCGCGCGATTTTGGCGATGCACAGAGCGCAATCACTCCTCGAGACGCTTTGCTGGCTGGTGGACGAGGTGCGCGAAATGAGCTGCCACTAGTCACGAAGCTCGACCCGCGATACCTCGCCCAGCGGCAGCAGAAGACCGTAAGGGATGCTGACCCGCCCGAGAAGATGACCGACAGTATGCTGAACGGCCATCTTTTTGGTAGATCTATCAGCCGGGGCCGGCGGACGGGCGCGAAGCTGTATTATCACGCGCATTCACAGGGCAGGGCATGTGGTAAGTTGACCATGCCTATTTTGGCCAGGCCCACTTTTGGCCCATGCGCAAGCCTCCATGCACTTACAACACATGTGATGAATCCTATTTCTTCAACACACCGCAACTTCCTCAAAACAACACCAAATTCCTTCAATTCTACTACAATCGATAGCTCTTTCACTGTTATTTCGAAGATGCCTCAATATAACGAGTTGGAAATGCTGCAGGGCATGCAATAAGTCCGCGAAGGCATTCCGGTGCGGCGCGCGGCCCTAGAATGTGGCGTTCCAAGGACCTCTCTTCGCAACCGTATAGCTGGCCACAAATCCCGCCATATTGCATTCGAACACATGCAGGTTCTTCCTCATGCGACGGAAGCCCGGCTCGCCGAATGGATCATCCTCCAAGGCGCTCTCGGCCTGCCTCCGACGCATGCAACGGTCCGGGAATTTGCCCGCCGGCTGGCCGTGGACGGAGGGAAGCCGGAATGGGTAGGACCGAAGTGGTTGCGCGGCTTCATGGCCCGGAACCCGTCAATCCGGACCAAACGGGCCCAAAGCATGGATACGGCCCGCCTCAACGGCGCCACGGTCCCGGTAATCACGGCTTGGTTCAACTACCTGGCCCTCCCGGCAGTCAAGCTGATCAAGCCGGAGAACCGTTGGAATAAAGACGAGACTGGCCTTCTTGAAGGCCAGGGTAATAACGGCATGGTTCTCGGATCTGAGGAAAGAGCCAACAACAAGAAGCTAAAGAAAAAGAAGTCAGGATCACGGAATTGGACCACGTTCGTGGAATGCATCTCTGTAACGGGCAGGTCAATACCTCCTTTGGTAATCATGAAGGGAAAAACCTTACAACAACAACACTACCCAACCAAAATGAATCCCTTTAAAGGCTGGAAGTTCCACACGCAAGAAAAGGCTGGATTGACGACGAGGGTGCGTTAAAATGGTTTTAGGAAGTCTTCCTTCCTCATACCCGCACGGCCAACAACGAACGCCGGCTCCTCATTGTTGAAGACCACGGCAGTCATACAACTGATGATTATACGTGGACCTGCTTCTAAAACAACATTCAGCTTCTTTACTTACCGGCACACTCATCACACGTGCTTCAGCCGCTTGATTTGACGGTTTTCTTGGTCCTGGAGCGGGCATACCGGAAGAGGTTTAACTCCCTACCCCGGTGCTCCTATTCAACGGTCTCCGGTCGGCGCACTATGTTGATCTGTTACCGGGCTGCCCGGGAAGAAGCATTCAAGGAAGAAAACTGCAAGGCAGGATGGTATGCTACCGGCTTGTAGCCGGTAAATAAGCTCAAGCCACTCACGAGCCCTCAAGTGCTAGAAAATAGCAACAAAGCCGGTAAAAGTACGGCTATAGCTACTCTCGAGGAAGAGAGGGATACGTCTCATCAGCAACAACAGTTGCTTAACGGTTACGGCACTTGGAAGACTCCTAATAAGGTTACGGACCTTACGATTGCTTTGGCCAAAATAAACATCAGCTCCCCGGCCCGCAGGGCACGTCATCGGCTATTCAGGAAGGTCAGAAAGGCATTCACCCTCAGGGACTTTGAGCTGGCTAAGCTCAGGCACGAAAATGAGGCTCTGAAAGCTGAGCTTGAGAACAAAAAGGGAACCAAGAGGAAGAAGGTGGAATTGAGCCCAAATTCGAAGTTTGCCTCGATAAAAGACACTCGGCGCGCGCAGAGGGCAGTAGGGCGCGAAAGTGACAGCTCTGACGAATCAGAGGGCTCGGAAGAAGAAGAAGAAGTCGAAAGTTGTATAGTAATTAGTTGATTTGGCGATATTTTACATGCTTCAATGTAGGGTGTCATTCATGAGTCGGCGGCTCAGCACGGACCAAAAGTGGGCTGGGCCAAAATAGGCATGGTCAACTTACTAGGAGGTTTAAAGTGTCTAAAATTGTCCTGTCTTCTACCTCTCTTAGTAGGGTCAAAGGCCTCTCTTTTATAGTTGTGAATGGTGGCAAGATTGAGTGGCAAAGTAGGTGGCGGGAGCTGACCAATCAGGTTGTGGTAGCTTCCAGGTTCTTCCTTTGTTATTAATCTATATTTTGTGATACTGTGAAATGCCGCTTTGCTGTATTGTGGTTGTGTCAGGAAGGAGCGCCGCAGGCTCAGCGCCGCAGGCCAAGAGCGCCGCAGGCACTGGGGGTCCTACGGGGCTTGCCCGCTAGAAATCCAACAATTAGACTATGAACATCGAAATATAGAATTATCACGAGAATTTGTTTTGGTGGTAGGATAGCTGTCAATCCGTTCTGGGTGGTCCTTACGGTACCTTCAACTTTCTAGCCAGCTCCCCCGCTAAAATAAGCCACTTTCCTCTTCAACCTCGTAATACAACCAACTTCAGTCAATCGCACGTACGATTTATCGCTTTCTAGCTATAAACAGATACGCCGAATACTTAACGATTATCAACCTATTAATCGCTACTAGTATATTACCAGGAACGCCTGTTTTTCGAGCCGCCGCGATGGCTACGGTGGGGTCTCTCAACCGCAGCCCCCACGGCCCGATACGCCAAATCTAGGTGGCCGTGGCCAGCCTCCCGACGGCCCGATCCTACCTAAAGAGACCCCGAACGACCGGATTCCTCCTGATAACCAGCACTTTATGAGGGCTCCTAAAATGCCTCAGCCACCCATTCCTTCGAGCGAAGCGAGGCCAGGCCGCCGCAGGCGCCGCTTGAGGCAAAAACAAGAAAAAAAGAGGCTCCGTTCAGCTGACCCCTTCCTGATTAGTCAGGTAACCTATTTTATACTTTAAGTGGCATTCTAGTTTGACTGTGATAGCAGCGCGATTAGGAGCTTGCCCTTTTTTTATTCTCAACTATACCAACCTAGCTGTCACGAAGGGAGAGTATTGACCGGCTAAAGCGGAGTACAACCTAGCCTGTATTACAGAATCTTAAGATACGGAAGAAAAGGAAAAGGAAGCGCTTCGCAGAATGCGCAGAGCGCGGGGTTGCAGGTTGGAGTGCGGGCCACGTTGCAGGAAGCGCACGGACCACACTCTAAATCGGATGCACCCAATGACGATAAGCGCATACGTCATTGCCACCACGGCTCGCCGTGACAGGAACAGCGGCGCTCCAGGGCATGAGCCTCAGAGACAAGGCAAGATGTCCAAGAGCGACTACGGTAATCGACTGGCTACACCCTTTTCACCAGATTTGAACCTGATCGAGTCTTGTTGGAACTGGATGAAAGACTGGATCGAAGACCAGCACGGCCTGGAAGGGAAGCCCTCGTACTATAAGCTACGCCAGTATGATAAGGAGGCTTGGGAGACACTGCTAGACGACTTCTTGAAGCAGCTACTAGCGTCTATGCCATACCGCTAATGGATGCATACAAAATATTGACTTGTATTAGCTGTATTAGCTGCGTTGCTAGTTTAGGTGGGGTAACGGGGGGCAGGCCGCGCGCGCAAGCGCACAGCTTCGTGCGGAGCACCCGCAGCACCCGCAGCACATGGAGATTGGTACGCCCATACATGGTCCGCGAATGGAAGTGGAATGATATCCGTCAACGCTAGAGGAACGGGAAACCGGTAGGCAACCGGGAATATTTCGAATGTGCAGGTTGAGCCAGTGCATGCTGTTGCACGTGATGGACAAAGTACCTTCTCCAGCTGAGACCAATGCGGTGGTGGCCGAGACACAGTTATCACGGCTTAGTCAACGTAAGGAGACAGGGCTGCAGGAATCATCGCTGAATTTGTAGAATCTAAAGATGAAGAAGGAACAGGAAAGCTATCGTAGGCTCCGCGCAGGGCGCGGGGAAATAAGTGGTGGTGCGGGCCACGTGCTAGATCGTGGACGGACCATACTCTTAATAGGATGCGACCAATCAGGGCGCAGGCGCCTGTCTAGGCCATGCCGTGACAACAGTGCTAACTAACTAACTACCTAGGAGCCCTGGGGGTAGACGGGGCGGCCAGGCCCCACCACCACCACCGTAGCGGTAGCTTGGGTTAGCTAGTTAGCGAGGGAGGGGGAGGTGCTCTCGTACAGTGCAGCTCGTGTAATGCTACTATCCATTTTCAGTCGGGCTTGTGTGAGCCACACGGACAACGTTGGGTCTTTTCACTTTTCTTTTCATCTTGCCCCTCTGTTGCCACTGAGAAAGGGCATCGTCACTTAACGCGGATGCATGCATCTCTAGCCTTGAGGCTTTCTATCCTTGCCCTAGCCTTGCCTGCCGGGAAAGCTCCCTAGGTTTTGGTAGTAGCGCAAACGCCGAAGCCCGCTCTCCACGAAGTGGGCCGCGGTTGGAAGAGGCGTATCTGGCAGGCAGTTCAGCATGACTGCGACGGCGCAAGACCTAGAGAAAACGCTACCGAGAACAATGCAGCCCGACACACAACTCGCCATCATAGGCTCGGGGCAGGTGAGGGGGTTAGGCCTTGCCGAGGACAATGCGGACGAGAGTACTTGGCGATATTTTAGTCTCATTATGTGGGATGCGAAGCCCGAGTCTCTCTTGTGGCTTCAGCTACCGGTCCCTGCGGGGCTGGATTGCACGTTCTCGCACCAGCGAATAGATGAACAGCTGACGAGACTGCAGCGGTACGGTGACGATTTTGATTGCTCCGCCAAGGGGCCGGCAGCTCCAAGTGGCCTGTACCCGCATGTCCTGCGGTGCACCGCGGCCCCGATCCCGCTCTTTTCACGAGGGGAGATCAGAAACTTTACCGTCTCCGACCTGACCCCGTGCGATAGGCCGCGAAGCCTCAGCAGCCCGCGTTTCTCCTGGATGCGGGGACCAGCAGTGGAGAACGAATCCAGAATCTGCCCTTAGAATATTGGCCTATGAGGTCACAAGATGGCGAACTTCGGCGCTTCTTCTTCTACTGCCATATCACACCTTTTATTCCCTTCTTCCATCCAATCCATCTTTTGCAGACTCGAATCTGCCTTGGTATGTGGGCACGCTTCTTCACATCTTACACAAGATGCTCTCAATTGCCTTTTCTCGAGCATGTGCTCCCTGCTAACAGCTCTCTCCACAAGTCGACAGTCTTTCCAGAATGGCGGAGGTGCCCTCAGAGGAATCCGCGCCGCTTCTGGCTCCCACTTGTGAAGGTTATGGGAGGCAAGCAAGCAGTCGATCGGCCTTGTAGGGCCTCATCTTCCTCGCGGCTGCGCGTGATTACTGACTTCTCACAGCGCCGTCGTTCTTGGTCCGGAAAGCGGTTCTCTTCGGACGGGTCCTGAGACCTCTGCCATCGACAACACGGCACCGGAACGAGGCAAAAAGTTTGCCGTATTACCATCAGACATTGAAAACCAACAGTCCCGCCGGCTACCTGTAGCTGACGATGACGGCGATATACCTCGGTGGATGATAGCATTGGTGGTCTTCATGGGTGCCGCATGCTTTCTAGTTATCCGGAAGTACATAACTATAGGGCTCCTCTTTTTGCTGACCCCGGTAGAAGCTGCCAAACACTTCCTTGGCCTAGCCTCTTGACCGCCTGCCCCTTTAATGATGGGTTTGCCGCATACCATGCTCTGACAAGGTTCTCCAATCCACTCACGCTTGCCGGTCCGGGATCAGCGCTCTGCGGCATACCATGCTCTGACAAGGTTCTCCAATCCACTCAAGCTTGCCGGTCCGGGATCAGCGCTCTGCGGGTGAGGCCGTGATATCACGCCATGTCGTGGGCGCATTTGGAGTATGGACGACGCAGCGGCAACTGGAATGCCGATTGGAGACGGTCCGCAGCCTTGCTGCCCTACGCGGTGCCTTCTGTACGTGCTGAAGGCGCCCGCGTCCTGATTTCAGTAGTTGTCGGGCACCAGATGACTTGGGCCCCTGGTCGCATCGGTGTCGGAGAGAGCCGCAGATTCACGGATGCGGGATGCGCGTGAGCCTTGGCATTGCTTGGGGGCCCGCAACTTATCGCGGTCGCCCGCTCCCTCGCCTGCAGAGACTCCCTTGCTAGGTTTCAAAGGGGAGAGCGCAGGTCCGCTCATCTACGGTTCTCGGGCAGTCACTTGGCTAGAAGCTTCGCCGGGGCATCTTGGGCGGTGAGAAGAGCCTCCATAGATACTGTTCCTATCTGCTCCCTTCTCTCAATGCCTGCTTGGTTGGCTAAATAAAGTGGAGCTCCTCTTCACGTACGATTATATGTCTCCAAAATGCAAAGTACTAGGCTCATGATACTCCAGCTCCCATATCGCCGCATAGGTATGCTGGCTTTCCTCCATGCCCCCCCCCCCCCCCCCCTTCCCTTTGGGCCTGTAATGGTACAGTATAATGATAATAAGTAGAATGTAAAGAGTAACTCGGCATTGAAGCCCCGTCCCTTTGGCTGCCGCCAGGCAGCCTATTTTTTCAAGCTACTCAGAAAGCCAGGTCTAGGTCACACCCGTGGACTCATCGGTCAAGATGGTTACCTGGGTATAGGTTAGTCGTGCCGTCGTTAAGCTTGGGGACAACCTGACGCGATTTGATTGCGTCCTCAGGCATGCTGTCGCGGGGTTGCTGGGGGTGTCATGTATCCACTCGCGGCACCCGGGGCGGCACCGATGCCATGGCCAGAGGGCCCTCCTGCCAATCGGACATGCAAAGGCAGCACGTAAAACTCCAACAAGGACTTGGGCAGCAGCGTGACAAGCTTCGTGGCGACCTTACCCAGCAGGCGTTGGGAATACTTGGCGGACACGTTCGGCGGTGGATCTTGGATCGCCCAGTAGAGATTTTTCACAACACTCCAGATCTCCTTGCAGCCGCTAGGGTCCCCAGTGTGTGGCGACGGCTGCCTTAGCACTAGTCGGGCCGCGCAGAGAGACGCCTGGGCCATGATTGACGGTTCGGTCCATGCAAGGCACCCGTCATCGCAGAGGCATATTTCGACCATGTACCTGGCCATGCAAAGGACCTCCCCATTGTCTTCTCTTTCGCCGGGAATGCTGTAAAGAAAGCGGTCGACGGTGGCCAAGATGTCCGGTCGCAGCTGGTCCAGCTGTTCCCGTGCGGCCGAAGGAGGCCCGTCACCCAAGGCAAGCTCGTCGGAAACAGGGTCGTCGCCCAAGGAAGACTCGTCGTCCGAAAGAGACTTCTCGCCCCAGAAAGACCTGTCCATAAAAGACGTACCGTCCGGAAGAGACTCATTGCTCGAAACCAGTTTGTTGTCTGAAAGAGACCCGTCGTCCGAAAGAAACTCATCGGCCGAAAAAGACTCGTCCTCCGAAGGAGGCCCATCGGAGACGGGAGCGGCCGGCTGCATGCAGATGCTCAGCTTTGGGGGGCCGTGGCCTTGGATCATGCGGCTGCTGAACGATAGCCCATCGTAATTGATGGTGGGGAGCGGTTCGGTATCGTTCTACGCAATGTCGCCATCTGTTAGCGTCGCTGCCATATTCCTCCGGGTGCCCCTACATCTTCTTCCCACGAGACTGCGTCGTAAAGGAAACAATGAGCGAGATCAATTACCATTTCTGCATGCATGACGCTATGATGTGCGTGCGTTGAGGCTGTCGACGGTAGCCTCACCCCTGTGAGAGACGTCGGCGGGGATCTCTCTCAACTTCGGCGCTTGCGAGGGAGGGAAGATGGTCGCATGCAACACAAATAATGTCGAGCCACTCGCCGGAAAGGCAAATCAGACGTGCCAAGGACACCATTCTCAAACTGCACGCTGGTGGTGAGGCAGGTGCGTAGCGGTGCGCAGCCCGGCATTCAGGGGCCCGCCTTCCCCCTGAAGTTCTATTCGGCTGTAGCACTGATGTGCCCTATGGCCAGGGAGCACACCCAACTTTTTTGAGACGAATCTGCCAATCTAGACGCGTGCCCGCCCTTCCTTAGCACCAAAAAAAAATCTCGGTTTAGGCGACGATGCTCGCTGCCCCCCCACACTTGGCCACGCCAAGCCGCCCGGAGCCTCGAACATGCGCGCTGTCCACGCAAAACTCGGATCCCTAGGGGATGCACAAGGTACCCCCCCCACCTCCCCGTTAGGCCTTTCCACCGGCAACATATCAGTAGGCAGCTAGCCGACGCCCCCCGGATGATGCTGCCGCCGCCTTTCGCCCAGCCTTGGCCATCAAGCCATACAAGTCTCGGGATCCACCCTCCCACCGCCTCGGCACCATGATGCCCTTCTACACCATGGTGTCCGACACCACGTTGGTGCTAGCCACGTCGCCTTTGCGTAGGCCTCGGTTCCGACCTCACGAATCGCGCGCTTCGTGCTCTCCCATATCTTAGCTTCCGCGCCCTCCAGCATCTCGTAGGCCCTGTTGAGCGCCTGCAGCGCGCAGTCTGTGGTTGTGGCAGCGAATACCGCCGCCTGCTAGGAGGAGTCGGGCTACCAACATTTCTTGGTTGATTGAGCATCTTGCCCCGTTGAGGCCCTCGGTCTTCCTCCACGACAGAAACCACTGCGTGCCACTGAAGCCCGCTAAGAAGACCACGGTCACCGCGGCACTGCACGGGATCGACCACACGCCGAGCGTTGGCCACGCAGCCCCGGATACGCCGAAGGAGACGGAGACGGAAACCTCGAGAGCCTTGATGGCGGCCAAAAGACAGTTCCCGATGCCCTCCGACTTCCTAAGCGCCTCCATGACGAGGCCGAGGCTCAGCCGTTTGCGCTGTTCATCGGCCTCCTGCTCGACGTGGGGAAACACGCTTTAATGCATGTTGATGCTGAAGGCCACCCCGATAGCTCGGAGCTGCCGGCTGAGGCCCCAAGCGAGCACGACGTCAAAGACCTCATAGACAGTGACGGATAACATAAAATTCCAGAGCGCGCTGAGGTGGAGTAGCGGCAGGCCGAAGGACTGGATCAACAAACTGCTCATGGCCATCAAGAGGTTGTAGACGACGCGCCACACCTCGGCACGGGCGGGCTTCTCCAGGCGACCATCTGTCCCATCCAGCAGACACGCCACTAGACGAAGCAAATATACGACATGCGAGAGGAGACGACGGCAGCGCCTGCCGCACTTTTTAGCGGCTATGTAGCCACGGTATTTGCTGTCGCTGTTGCTTTTGCTTTTGCTTTTCGGAAGCAAGGGCGCGAGTTCGGTCGATATAACGAGGGAGGGAGCGGCTGCTGGTTCTGCAGGATCGACCCGGCTGATCCATCCAGCGGTGGCAATATGAATGTCATGACCAAGGAACCGAACAACTGGAAGGTGGCGGGAGGAGAGCTCAACGAGGATGCGACGAGGAAAAAAAGGGGTCGAGAGGGAGACGAGAAAAGCGCGACCGTCATTCAAGGGCTTGAGTCCGGCCCGCGCAGTCTCTGCTCGACATGGCGGCTTACTTCTGACGGCACGTGGTTGGCAGCTTTTGTGAGTACCACGCTCTACTGTCGATACGAACTCCATCCCTGCACTCCAGGGACCACAATCCAAGGTGGAGCACGTTCTCCTCTTCTCTCTCTCTGCTGCTCCGGGTCGGAGTGCGAGATGATTTATGACTAGTTAGTCAGAGCCCCGGTGTCTTTGACACAGCGGTCTGCAGGATGCTCGTATAGACTTGTCCCAAGTGCGCACGACACGGTGCTCTGCCGGCCAGTGGTTCGATTGTTACTCCCAACACCGACAAGTCCGCCCGCGTCCGATGCCTCCCGACCCGGGAAGAGAAAGCCGACATGCTGGTGGGGGCCCTCTACGGCTTCCTTGCGGCTGCACAGCTTGCCTCCCGCCTGGGTAGCGGATACCTGTCGAGCCAAGAAGGCAACCCCGATGCTGAGGTGCTGCTGAGGTGTCGCGCGAGGAACGTATCCTTCCCAGTGTTTAGCACAAGCACACCACTCCATCCAGAGTTGGCGAGCCCGGACATTACCTCGACGATGCCACGGCAACGATGTAGTATATCCCCAGCGATGGCGTATCCTGGGCCATCTTGATCCTAGGTTGTGGGCGTGATGCGCGATACCGAGGTAAGCGAGGGCGCAACAAGACAGACGGTCCGTATTCGCAGCCGTGAGTACGGCTGCGGGACGAGGGACTTCTGTCGTGCCCTACAAAGTGCACGCATTGTCGCCTCCCGAATGCCTTGTGGAATTTCGGGCTTGGCCTGAGGCGCGTCGTCGCGGCGGTGACGAGAAGATCGATATACGGCCTGTAGAGTCCCTCCTGGCGCAGCCTATTAGCATACGCTGTAAGCACGCTCGAGGTCTGGCCTCGTTTCTCACACCTAGGCGTTTATCCGCGATAGATCGCTATTCTGTGCCTTCGCTACGGCGTCGAGTGCGGGACGGTCCGAGAGGGTCACATCAATCTTCGTCATTCGTCAAGGTGTCAAGCCCAGATATTTCTTCGTCTCGGCGCTCTTTGGACAGAAAGCCACGCCGATCTGCCAATATTTGTACTTGCTTTGTTTGCATTACTGTATTTGCGTTGTTGCGAGCGCTGCACCAAGCCCGAGAACCGTTGGAACAATGACGAGACAGGCCTGCAGGGAGGCCAGGGCAGCAACGGCATAGTCCCAGGATCCAAGAAAACAAGACTCTAATCAAGAGATAGCTCGGGGCCCGCACCTGGACCTTCGTTGAGTGCATCTCGGCCGCCGGGCAAGCACTTGGACCATGCGTTATTTCCAAGGGGAACCAGGTGAAGCCATTCAGGAAATGGAAGTTCTCCGCCCAAAACAAGGCTGGACCGACGACGAAATCGCCCTAGGATGGCTTCTCCATATCTTCATTCAGGGTGCGGCTCCGGAGGACCCTAGAGAGGCCCGCTTGCTGGTCCTTGACGGCCACCACAGTCATATAACCTTGGACTACATATGACTATAGTTCCTGGATAACATCTACCTTATTTACATGCCCTCACACGCATCGCACGTTGTACAGCCTCTCGATTCAGGCGTCTTCTCGTCCCTGAAGCAACTATATAGAAAGTTCCCAACTTTGACGACCGCGCAGTCAGAGGCTACGCTTGTAGGCAAAAGGACGATGCTTGTGTGTCATTACAAGGCTCGTGAGATTGCTTCGAGGTGGGAAAACTACAAGACAGGCTGGCATGCCGTCGGGCTGTGGCCCCTGAACAAGCAGAAGGCCCTGCGCAGTCCTTTGTTGTTAGAAAACGCGAACAGAGCCAAGAGGGCCACAGCTACCGCAGCGGCACAACTGTTGGCCGCTACGCCAAAGCCCTCCAGGACAACAGGGCCCACGAATTCGCTGTGTTGCGGGCGCAGTTGGAGCTTGCAAAGAACAAAAGAGAGAAGGCTGCCACTGCGGACCCGAATGAACGGTTTGTCGACATGACGAAGATCAGGGAGGCGCAGACCGAAGACGGGGCTACTCAGGAAGGCCTTGAAGGAAGCTCTGACGAAGGCCCTGACCGGACTGCCTCAACACCATGCCATATGACCTGTGATGGCGTCTTGTTGTTTACTTTTGACGCAGCTGCCCTTACCCCTAAGCCGGCCAACCTTAGGCTCCGAACCATAGCAAAGGGCGGGACCGATTTAGTAAAATGGCCCAACCTCCATTCCTTGGAGCGAAGCGAGGACGGCCCGCCTGGGCGCCGCCGTTCAACAGACCGCTTCCTGAATACCCAGGTAACCTATTTTAGAGCTGAATTGCTGAAGGAATTGCCGAGGTAGCTCGAGCAAGAATTGCAGCCGCAAACCTGCGAGCGGATCATCTAGACCGTTAGTGGAGCAGAGAGCGTCATAGACTCGAGATGTGGCATTCCCACTGCAAGTCCGAAAGCAGAGGCACTAACGAGGCAAGCGGCTATAAGTAAGGACCTTCCCTCGCCCTCCTGCTGCGCTTCCTTCGCTTCAGGTTTCCTGAGTCATTGGTCACAAATCACTAGACCTACCACACACCGAGCACAGCTTCTGCATCTACGTAATTGAGAAAGGTAGCCCGGCCCCAGAACGTTGAGAAGTCGAATCCATCTCTCTTAAACCTAATGCAGCCGCGATTCCACGACGTCAAATCCCGCAGGTCAGTCTCGGTTGCCGCAAGTCAACCTCCATGCCCATCCCAGTTGCCTCTCCGTTTTCTTCGAGCAGCGACCCTAACACGCAGTCTTATAGCGACCCTGACACGCAGTCTTATAGCGACCCTACCGACTTCCTACCGACTTCCTACATAACTCGAACCTTCAAACCATCACTACACTCACCTACCGCAAGTCCATCTCCATCTCCATCTCCATCTCCATCCCAGTTGCCTCTGCAGTTGAGCAGCGACCCTAACACGCAGTCCCACAGCAGTCACCAATCACTATGAGCGCCACTCCCGACAACAAGGGCGCGAGCACCAACGCGGCCGCTGCGGCGGCGGCGGGGGCCGCGGCGGCGGCGGCGGGGCGGAAGCGCCAACCCAGCGCCAACGACAAAGAGGCCGCCGGGCGCAGCGACAGCAAGAGGGCCGGGGCCGGCGAAAAAGCACAAGATGAGAACGCGGGCGACAGCGCCCCGCCGGGGGAGGAGACGGATGAGGAGACGGATGAGGAGACGAATGAGGAGACGGATGAGGAGACGGATGAGGAGACAGATGAGGAGACGGACGAGGACCAGGAGATTGATAAGCTGTGGGGCCTAATTATGGTACGAGAGCGGGAGGTTGCCGCCCTGCGGCACATGAGTCAGTACCAGCTGGACTACCTAACGGCCACCGCCCAGTACCGGCAGTGGCAGATCGAGAGGCTGCGGGGCATCGCCATACACTGCTTGTGGCAGCTCAACCAGGCGTTGGGGCTCGTACGCCAGCGCGAGCGCGACATTGACGGCTGGCGGGCCGCCCTTGCCGACCGCGAGCGGCTGATCGGCATCTGGCGGGCCGCCCTTGCCGACCGCGACCGCCGGCTCGTCGACGCGCACGGCGTCGTGGCCGAGCGCGACCGCCAGCTCGCCGCCGCGCGCGAGCACAAGCGCGACGTGGCCGGCCTGTTCGACAAGATCAATGACCAGAGCACCACCATCGGCGGGCTGCAGAGCATGATGAACGACAACCAGCGCGACGCCCAGCGCCTGCGCGCCAGGGTCGACGAGCAGACGGGCACCATCGCGGCGCTGGGCGCCCAGCGCGACGCTCTCCAGGCGCGGTGCCACGAGCTGGAAGCGGTCGCCGCCAACGTCAACCAGCGCCTGCGCAGCCTCGTCAACGAGCAGACGGGCACCATAGCGGCGCTGGGCGGGGAGCGCGATGCTCTCCAGGCGCGGTGCCACGAGCTGGAGTCGGCCGCCGCCAGCGTCGAGGCCGAGCAGTAAGCCTAGCAGACAGGCGCACAGCGAGGCATGCGACGTGGGGGCGGCCCCAGGGCTGTGGGGTTGGGTTGGTTGGGTTGGTGGGTGTGGCTTGGTGCTGTTGCGGCTGGTGTGACATGGTGGCGATGCGTCTCTCTCCTTTGTTTTGTTCTTTGTTTTTTGGTTGTTCTGTTCTTTGTTTTCTTCTCCTCTGTCTTCGTCTCCTTTGTCGTCTGGTGTTAGTAATCGTGATAGTGGCGACTCGTACCCCCTATGGCAATCCCTCTCTCGCCGTCGCCTTCTTTTTGTTCGTGCTGCTGATGTAACAACAAACCCGCGAGGTCAAGGTAGCCGCAGTCTTTAGCTGCCGGGCCGTTGCAGTCTTTACCCCCAGTCCGCAAGTAAGAGTTAAATTGCCGAGGGAGTCAAGCCGGAATCGCTGGCGCCAGCCGCGAGCGAAGCTAATTTTTTGGTAAAATGCCCCAGTCATCAGCAGAGTACTCTTCATAACTCGAACAAAGAAACACTTACCAATCTCAGTTACCGCAAGTCAGCCTCCATGCCCATTTCCAGTTACCTCTCCAGCTGCCTCTGCAGCCGAGCAGCGACCCTAACACGCAGTCCTACAGCAGTTTCCAGCAGCAAAATGAGCGCCCAGATCGACGACCAGGGGCGTGGCGTCAACCACCTCAGAGAGCGGTGCAACGTGTTGGAGGCTGCCATCGATGACCAGGACAGCACGCTCTCCGAGCACGAGCTTGTGCACGACCTAGTCAGACACCAGTGCAACGTGTTGGAGGTTGCCGTCGGCAACCTCACGGCCGAGTGATGGCTGGCGGGATGTGCACGGGCCGGGCGAGGCGTGCGGCCAGGAGATCGGGGTTGGCTTGGTTTGCTTTGGCTTGGTGGCAATCTCTCTCGCGTCCGTTTCTTCTTGCTCGTGCTGCTGATGGTGACAGTGACGCGAGGTCAAGGTAGTCGTCGATCAAGGTTCAGGGGTTCAGGGGCCAGGGGGTTGTTTACACGCTTACCTAATACAATCTGGTGCACTTTTCTCAGCCCGCCCTCGCTGAGATCAGAGGGCGGCATCGCTCTTTTCCCTCGGATCGGATACGCCCTTATAGGTCGCATCTTATTTAGAGTATGGTCCGTGCACGACCTGGTACGTGGCTTGGGCGGCCATAAGGCGCCTAAAATGTTTTTAAACTCGGTAAAAAAGACGTCGCAACTTGAGAGCGATGCCGCCCTCTGATCTCGGCGAGGGCGGGCAACCACCGTGTACGAGGTAGGTAGGCCGAGAAAAACTGAAAAGAGCACACCAGATTGTATTAGGTAAGCGTGTAAACAACCCCCGAGCCCCTAATCAACGACCACCTCGACCTCGCGTCATCATCACCAGCAGCAGCACGAACAAGAAGAAACGGACGCGAGAGAGATTGCCCTGTTTTTGGCCTGTAATGGTCTTGACGGGACGCTGCGTGGTGCGTTGGGCGCCTTTCGATGGTCCCCGGCCAAGTCGGGATCCGAGCGGTCAACAGCAGCCGCCCACTTCTACTGGCAGCCACTTGTACTGGTAGCCACTTGTACTGGCAGCTTCGCCGTGGGATTTCGGACAGCGCTTCATCCTCCTGTCTTTCTTGGGGACAAGGCCAAGATTTGACTGGGTCGGGGGCAGGGGCAGGGAGCCCATCTCGATCACACTCTATACCCCGCATTTCTTTCTACCCGCGAGGGGCAGGGGCAGGGATAGGGCTAAACCTCATTTTGGGGTGTAAGTAACTCGCCAAAGTGGTAGGCTGATATAAGTTAAATACTAGTCCAAGAGTCCCAACAGCAACTTGGATAACATTTAGCATATACCATTCTTCATCTCGGACTCATACGTCAATTGTCAGCCACAATCCGAGTATAGGAGGAGACTTATAATAGAGACTTGTTCGCCTATGGAGACTTGCCTGTCCAAGAATCTGAGGGTGCGTCAAGACCTAATAGCCCGTCATGTACGCACCCTATCGCCGCACAGTCAACATAACCGTCGCCGTCAACATATACGAGTGCTCGGGAGGGGAGTGTTTCCTAGCATGGCCTGAAAAGGCGCAAACAAAGCGTAAGGTGGTAGACGACATTTGCAGGACATTCAGGGCAGCTGTGGAACACATCAGCCCGCGACGCCGTCAAAGACGTCATTTCAAACTGTAGGGTTAGGCCAAATCCACCACTTCCTGCACTAATTTCTAGGATGCACTAATTTCTAGGATGCACTAATTTCTAGGACGAAGCCAAACGCATTCTAACTTCAGATCAATCAACCAACATCTCAGATTTGCCGACAGGGACCCCCAGCGCCAAGGTAGCCGGTACTTTGTCGGCACCTTGCCTGCCAGGGGGCTCGCTGGCCGCGTGTCCTTGCACGTAAGTACTGATCCCGTACAATCTTTGACAAGGAGCATCTAGCGTGTGGAGATGTGCGGGTGCGGACGTCAATCCCTGCCCGGTAACCTGGTAAAGCAGTGCGCCAAGAACTACAGTGGGGTTATCTTTTGCTTCTAGAAGAAGCACCGATAAAAGGGGCCGAGCTGTGCACGTACAGCCGCACCACAATTACACTACAATTGACACTATTTTACATGCAGGGCGGGCCGTGCGCAAGTTGCAGGCCAAATCCACCACTTCCTGCCAAACGCATTCTAACTTCAGATCAGCACCACAATTACACCATCATTGATACGTACTGCTAGTCCGAGTGGCCTCGGCTGTAGATGCCGTTCAGAAGCTAATAACAGACCCTGTGATCGAGATAAGCTCCTCCGGTGACGCCGCCTGCGTCCACATCTCGAGTCTGTCCGGCAGAGGCACCTGGTTGCCACTGAACAGAACCTTTAGGCGATGGCCTTGATCCTTTGATGGCCTGATAGCCTCCAGATAACAGCCTCCACTCCACTGATGGTCTAGATGACCCTTCACTCGCGGGTTGGCGCCGGCATTCCTGGTTGACTACCAGCCGACGGCGGGGAATGCGGGCCAAAGCCTGCAGCGCGGACCGTACCGACGAGTCGCCAGAACCCCCCTGGTCCTGGACCTGACCTCGGTTGGTGCCTCCCGAGTCGATTCCACGTGCAGATGACGCAGGGCAGCTGTGGAACACATCAGCCCGCGGCGCCGTCAAAGACGCCATTTCAAACCGTAGGTTGCAGGCCAAATCCCTGGGACACCACAACTGACACTCTTCACACGCATGGCAGGCCGCGCAGGCTGCAGGCCAGATCCACTTAGAACGAAGCCGAACGCATTCTAACTTCAGATCAGCACCACAATTACACCACAATTGACACGTACCGCACCTCGGCTGTAAATTCCAATGACCCCAGGGGAAAATGAGGCCAGCTAGCCTGTAGGGCTTGTTTCTAGACATGTAGACTTTTGGCATGTGTGTAGATTTTTGTGTATATGTAGCGAGCTTCCCTCCACCCTTCTCCCACACTTCTTTCTTCCTTCTACATCACACAGCTTACAACTCAACCATTCCTTGACCCTCGCTTTCTACATACCATTCTGACCACCTTGATCTCTTCTCTCCCGCGGTATCAATAGCTCAGGTCTGTGATGACTGTGGGGCCCACAATCTGCCTAGGAAGAACTTGTCTCGGAAGATCTTCCGTATCAACCAGCGCTTCCATTCTTTCACACACAGGGTGCTAGAGACGACCCAAATTCTGCCTTTGAGGTACTTTTCATCAAATGCCCAAACGGTGGCATTTGGGTCGTCACTAGCACTCTGTGCGGAAGAGTGGAGGCGTATGTTGATGCGGAAGATCTTTCGAGACAAGTTCTTCAGAGGCAGATTGTGGGCCCCACGAAATCACAGGCCTTTGAAGTCCTCGACTACGTACGGTAAATCCTCTACATCAACTGGCGCTTCACTCTTCCCTGTATGGATTGCTAAAAACCACCATGATACTGCCTTTTCTCACTGCACGGGGAGAGGCAGTATTATGGTGGCATCTGGCAATCCGTGTAGCGAAGAGCGAAGGTGTCAGCTGGTATGGAAGGTCTTCCGAGACGAGGACTCTAGAGGCAGATTGGGGCGCTGCACGTGACGAGATTTGGTGCAATCAGAAAGCAGAAATCCCGACAGCGACAGCGGCAGCGACACACGAAAAACGGAGTGATCCGTGCACCCGCATTTGCTCTTTTCCCCATGTTTGGCCGCCTCTCACCGCCTTTCAGCACGTTCCAGCCGTCTGCCAACTGGAACGTGCTGAAAGGCGGTGAGAGGCGGCCAAACATGGGGAAAAGAGCAAATGCGGGTGCACGGACTACTCTTTTCTTCGTTCGTCGCTGTCGCTGTCGCTGTCGCTGTCGGGACTTGTGCAAACCGGCGACACAGAAACCAGCCTTCTCGAGTCAACCACGCAATGGAAAATGACGAACCGGCGCCGACACATGTGCGGGCACTTTAAATAAGTCGCTAAGTAATCTGAAGCTTTTTCCATTGTCATGCACCTTCCTCACTGCAACGATTGGAGCTGGCGCTGTGCGAAAACGTGTTCTGCACTTCAACCCCTCCCCCACCTTTGCGAAATCCCACACCTCACCTTCTGCATAAGCACATCGCGACCTTGCCTCACCACAGGGCTGCCGAACGCGACTGCTGCATGCCTCATCTTACCCTTTGCCCCGAATCTCGGTGACGTTGGTGCTCTTTCCTTATATACGCTTTGCATGTCATTTCATCTTGGAAGATGGTGAGAACCGGAAATCTTGCGCTTCCGTTTCGCTGAACCCTGGCGGAGCACCCACCCTTCCCCCCCCCTGGCGGAGCACCCACCCTTCCTTTCCCCGGCGGAACACACCCACCCTACTGGTACTCTCACATCATAAAGTCCTCACCCTCGCCCTCGCCCTCACCCTCGCCCTCGCCCTCGCCTTCGCCCTCGCCCTCGACCTCGCCCTCAACACGGCCTGTAAACTTCATGAACGCTCATCCAATCCCGAGGCCCTGTTACCCTTGTTCACCACCCGAGGCATTTGTGTCCAACTGAATGCAACCATGTCGCGATTTCTCACACCCGCCAAGATTGGCTTGCTAGCACTCATTGAACTCTACACCGAGGAAGCTGTTCCCAATGATTCCATTGTCCCAGTCATCAAGTTCATCATCTCTCACTTGCTTGGTCGCGACTTGGTCAGCACTTCCGTCTCAGCCCCCGCAGATCCGTGGGGGAAAGCGGACAGCACAATCAGGCTCGTCGTGTCCATTCAGGACTTCGAGCATGTCCTAGGGCCCCTCGCCGCCGCCGACCATCTCCCAGGTCGTCGCCTGTGGGACATGTTCTTGGAGAAACTCTGGGCTATCGATTCTCTGCACGCACTCCGGGTCTTCTTTGACCGCCTTCCACGTCTTTCGGCAAAGACCAGAGATGAGCTCCGCCGCATGGCCGAGCTCGGCGAGCATCCCCCTTCCGGCCTCCTGCTCTCACGCCGTTCCCCCTTTGGCCGCTTCGTGCGGAAATCACACTCCGAGTTTCCTCTCTTGAAGTTTGGCCCCGCGGCGGAGCTGTGGAAAGGGTTTGTCAAATACCGCCACCCCACCGCCGGCTATTGGAACCGGCGGAATCCGCATCACGGCCGGCTCAGTTTCGACTCGGTGCTTATGACGGGCGAGCATGGATGGGGCCCGGGCGCAGACGCGCTTGCCGTAGTGGCATACGGGGATATGCTGCGCTTGGATGGCCAGGATGACACCCTCTCGGTCAGCACCGATGATATCGAAAGCCTTCTGGAGTTTCAGATTGAGCTGATACAGAGTGAGCAACGAGTCCTTTCCCAAACCCCGGTAACTAGGAGAAGTGCTTGTTCTAACACAAAGCCAGAGTATGGAAACAGGGCACCGCCAGATATCAGGGACCGACTTCTACGCCTGCTCAAGGACTGCCACCTCATTCCGAGTCTGTCACACTATCTCAAGTACGTTTCTCTAATCCTTGTAGCCGTGCAGAAAACCTTTTTCCTGACACGGCGTGACAGCTTCTCGGACGCCTGGAGATCAGGCGAATACCCAACCTCCCTGGACCATCTCCACCGGTATTTCGACTACACCATGCAGGGCCGGAAACGCCTCTTCTACCAGTATGCCTTGATGAACGTTGCCATTGTTCAGACCGACTTTGGGTGTCACAAAGAAGCCGTGACGGCCATGCTAGAGACGGTTTCCATTGCGAGGGAGAACAGAGACATGACATGCCTCAACTTTGCGCTGAACTGGTTCTTCCACTTTGGCCGGGCTCACCCCGACCTCGTCAGAGATCTAGAAAACAGCACCATGCTCGGGAGTGGTAAAGAGACGTTGGCTTTTCTCCGCGTCATGGCCAAGGAGACAGGCATGTGGATCTTGTGGGGCTCTGCGCTGCTGAACGAGGCCAAGCTCGGGTTGTCCGGCGGTGAGAGTGTGTCGGTCGCTCTAGAATACATGGTGCGCAGTTCACACATGGTCGTGCGGCGCAACATGAAGACCATGATGGGGGCCCAACTATCCATGGCCATCGCGCTATGGGACCGACTGGGCCTTTCGTACCTGTCCGGCCTGACATGCGAGGTCTTCATGCGCTGCCACGCCAACCGTTCTGTGTTTGACGACGAGCTGAGGGTCACTTGTCGTCTCGCGGGCCTCCTGGCTGGCCGGGGCAAGTACGAGGAGGCATTCGAAAAACTGGAGGCCGTCAACAGCAACTCGCTCCGCGCAGTCGAGTCCAACCAGCACTGGCATCTCTACCGCGGCATTCTCAAGCTCAGCCGCGACCTCCACCGCAACAACATCGAGGCCGCCGACTGCCTCCTCTCCCAGCTTCTCCAGATGAGGACCGATGATATCGAGGCCGACATCGTCTTCGTCATCGACTTGCTCCACGTCGAGTCTCTCACCCGCCGCGGCGACTACGAGCCCGCCTTTGTCAAAACTGACCGCCTCATTGCCGAGATGCGCCACGACAAAAGAGACATTTCGTTGCGCATCCGCCTGCTCCTCACCAAGGCCCATTTGTTCGACCGCACGGGCCGGCCCGAAAGGGGCTTCACCATTGCCATGCGTGCGGCAAGCCTCGCCTGGCACGCACGGCTCGTAGCACTGCTCTGGCAAGCCATGGGCGCCATAGCTAACGTTCTCAACGCGCTGTCAGAGTTTGCCACCGCCGCTGAGCTGCTTGTCATCGTGCTCCCGCGGTGCCTCGAGACCGACATGGCATACATGACGGGCACGCTGTACAGCCTGCTCGCGGACGCACGGATGGGTCAAGCGGGCGAGAAGGCGACGGCAGAAGGAATGAGCCGCGGCGGTAGAGCTGCTGGAGCCCCCATGAAAGCGACGGCGAGCGCGAGCGCGGCCCCGGCTGCTGCCCAGAAGAAGCCCTCTGAGTTTCTGGCGAAGGCCCATGAGGCACTCGATTTAGCCTTTGGCTACTTCTCGCTCGTCGAGGATGTAGAGATGCAGTGCCAGGTGCTGGCCAAGAATGCAACACTGATGAGGTCCATGGGCGACCACGGGTTGTCGGAGGAATATGCGGCCAAATACGTAGCATTGAAGAGAAAGGCGGATGCCAGGAACGGTTGATGGCTTCATTGTGCCTGCTTGGGAAGAACGAGGGATGCCAGTCCGTTTTTTTTTTTTGGAGGGGGGGAGATGTTGCGTCTCTGCTTGCCAGGTATTTGGCGCGTTCTTCTGAGAACCACAAGCCTTTACTGATGCAGTTATAAGAGGGAGGGGGCGGGGCTTTGGCATTCTGTTTTGGGTCTGTAGTATTGTACACGAGGCCTTGGGCTTCTGCGTTGGGCATTTCTAGATGTGCCCTCTGTTGGGTCTGTGGTCTTCCCATTGGGCTTTTGCACTAGGCATTTACACAACTGCTAGAATGTGTAGTATTATTGTACACGAGGCCATTACATTGGGCTTTTGCATTAGGCGTTTACACCTCTGCTAGATGTGCCCTCTGTTGGGTCTGGTATTCCCATTCGGCTTCTGCATCAGGTCTTTACACATCTGCTCAATGCGCCTGCCCTTTGTGAGTGGGCTACAATCTATTTAGACTGTCAGACGGTCCAAACAGACTGGTCCGTCCTCCTTAGATTCGCGCCGGGATACGCGGTGGGTAACATGTAGCAATATATCCCGTAGGACGGTGCCGTTACCGTTGAAGAGGGAGGCAGCAATCCAAAGAGAAGAGAAATGAAATAATCATGAGCAAACTGGCAGTGTACTCCCTACCTAGTTTCAGATTACCGACCACCTGTACCAGCTCTACGTCAAGCATCCGCCCCTTCTCATCTTACTCTTCATGTTTGCTTTTTGCTTTTGGTTGGCAGCAGTGGGCTTTTACTCAATGACGGGGCACAGAACCACTGCGGCACGGGGGACACAAAAGGGCAAGAAGACGCAAGGGACTTTGCTTTTCTCTTCTCTCGCACACACTAGGTAGGAAAACATGAACAAGGCAATTGTGAAGTAGGTAGTAGAGTGAGGCTTCCTAACTCTCCCCTATTCTCCCTCGTGCCCTGCCTGCCTGTCTGCCTGCCTGCCTGCCTGTCTGTGTATACCGCGCCGCGCGCCCCCCTTCCGCACATCGGCAATGAAATGAAATGAATGTACACCGTTCTGTCTGTCTCTCTCTCTATTGCCCGTTGCAACTGCTGCTGCTGCTACTGCTACGGCTACCGCACCTGTTGTGGGTGATGGTGGTCTAACGAAGCCGCGTCGACTCGATTCGTTGTTGATGTTTACTTGGTCTTGTCGTGGTTGTGGTAGTTGACCGACGGGTTCCAGCTGCGAAATGAGAGGTTGGTTAGCAAGCACGCAAGCAGGACAGCAAAGCAGCTGGATCAGCTTTCAGTGTAGTATTGTTTTTTTTCCCTCAGGAGAGGGGAGGGGAGGGGGGTTGGGGGTGACACGGGTAGGTAGGTAGTCCGGTCTATTCGGCGGCCCTGGCCAGGTCTTTGCTCGTTTGTTTTGTTTCGGGGATGGGTGAATGTGAATAACACGTACAACAAAGTCTGAAGAAAAGAAGATCAGGTCAGCATTTGGCATTCCTAGGCAACATTTTGCAAAAAGGACATGGAGAGGACGGGCGCGCCTGCCGCTAGCTAGCTACATGCTGCTACATACCTTGTCTCCATCGCCCCAGGTGTAATTCTTGGTCCGGATGTTCTGGTAGGGATACTCGACACGCTCCTCAAGCGGGGGCATGTGGGACCAGTGCTCCCAGTGCTCGTTCCATAGCGTGTAGGCGTTGATGCCGCCGAGGACGAGGCAGATGGGGACGCCGCTGTGGTGTTGTTGTTAGCTGTGTTCTTTCTTTCTTGCGCTGTTCATTTTGATTGTTGGGACGGGGCAAGGCGTTTGCCCCGTTGAGAAGATCTGGATGTTCTCTTTTCGACGAGAAAAGGAGTCGCACTGGCGGTAGCTTCTTCTTCTCTGCCTCTAGTACAGGTAGTACTGGCTTGTGGGTGTTGGGTGTTCGGAAACAAGGCTGCCGTAACGGAGGAAACCACGCAACGAAGAGTGGGAGACGGGACGAGGTGAGGCATTTGTCCCTGTTGCAGGGTCTGGATATTCTCTTTTTCGACGAGAAAATGAGCCGCACTGGCGGTAGCTTCTTCTTCGCAGCTTCTTCTTCTACTCCCCCAGTACAAGTGGTGCTGGCTTGTGGGTGTTGGGTGTTCAGAAACAAGGAGGCTGCTCGTCACAGAAAAAAACCACGCAACCAGTGGGAGACGGGACGGGCGGGTGCGGGTGCGGGTGCACATACTAGATAGCGATCTTGCGCCACAGCTCTAAAAAGATCCCCCCCCCCCCATGTGTTAGCGTTTCAGAGGCCAATTGGGATTGGGGAGTTACTGTGTGGAGAGACTCCAACTCACGGGTGGTCGACGCGGCGTGCTCCTTGATATGGCGACGCTCGGCGACGAATGCGTTCTCGCCAGCAGCAGCAGCCGACGAGGCGAGATTGCTGCTCGCCAGCCGACGCTGGGCCGCGGGCGTGGGCGCACGGAGCTGCTGCGCGGCCAATCGACGAGGCGCAGCGCGCAAAATCTGCCGGTGCGAAAGCATTTTGTTTTATCGATGAGCGATGGATGGGGTTTTCGTGAATTGATGTGTTGCCTGCCTGCCGGTCGGAAGCGTTGCGTTGCGTTCCGTTGCGTTGGGCGATGGATGCGTGAGGAAAGATGCAGCAGCCGAGCAACCGAGGACAGGGCCTAATTTGCGGGCCGGCCTGGCGGCCTGGGCCATGGAGGTCCAGAGGGGTCAGCTGGGGTCATGTGACCTCGCGCATCACAGGTGGGGGGGGAGGGGGTAATTGGCCAACCTCAACCTAGAGGCTTGGTTGATGTCAGATGGAACATGCTAGAATGTGGGCTGTGAAGGAGCTAGGCAAAGGATTCGCGGCCTACTTCGCCACTCATTTTGCCACCTATTTTGCCACCACAATAGTAGTATAAGAAGGAGGCTTTCTGGCACTGCCAGAAAGCCAGGAAGATAGAGAAGACAATCAATTGAAGCCAGTAAAAATCCTGAAGTGCAGTAATCCAACAGTTGACGTCGCCCTCTCCCTCGAGGCTCCATCCCTCCCCAGCTCGTGCTCCTAAAATCAGCCCATTCCGAGACTTGGCGCTGGGGAGTTCCGAGGACTGGGCACCGTTCACAAGCCGCGCGCAGGCTGCAGGCCAAATCCACCACTTCCTGCACTAATTTGAAGCCAAACGCATTCTAACTTAAGATCAATCAACCACATGCAATCGAACCACAATTGACACGAAAGAAAATGAGGCCAACTAGGCTTGTTTTTGGAACATGTAGAATTTTCATGCGTGTGGATTTTTGTGTATGTATAGGGAGCTTCCCTCCCCCCTCTTCCTACACTTCTTTCTTCCTTCTACATCAACAATTCAACCATTGCTTTGGTCCTCACTTTCTACCTACCTCCGACCACCTTGATCTCTTCTCTCCAACGGTGTGGGGCCCACAATCTGCCTCTGAAGGCCTCGGCTATCCTTGTCTCGGAAAATCTTTCATATCTACTAACACTTCCATCTTTCCACACACGGAGTGCCAGAAACGTCCCAAATAACCAGCTACAGCTAGCAGGCGGAAGAACTAGAGGGTGTAGAGGGGTGGTAAGAGGCGGCAAAATTTGGGCCAGCTTGGGTTCGGGGCTGTGATTGCGTGTCTGCCTCTGAAGGCTTTGTCTGACACTCCCATCCTTCCACACGGAGTACAAGAGACGACCCAAAGTACATACCCAGAGTGCCAGACACGACCCAAATAGTTTGGATCGTCTCTTGTGCTCCGTGTGTGGATGAGTGGGAGGTGTCGGTTGATACGGACGATTCTCCGAGGCAAGGCCTTCACCAGATCTTGCCGTCTCCTGCTGCTCTTCTGCACCCTCCCGTTCTTCCGCCTGCCAGCTGCAGCTGGCTCATTTTGGACCGCGCGACACAGATTTCTAACACAAGGCCGAAGAACTTTGTGAGGACGATGCGTGTTTAGCCGCTAGAGACTTTGGGCTCGCAAGGTTAGTCATTCCCGTCGTCGCATGCCTAGGGTATGCAAGTTCTTCAAAGTTCCCCACATGCTCGCCAATTTTGCGAAGGAAGGCAATGTAACCCCAAGGCAAGCATATTGTTCGAAAGCCTTGAGGTTCTTAACTTTCTAACTACATATGCGATGTCATTACTACAGTAAAGAAAAAAAACTGCCGACGCATGGGCCACACATCCCAAATTCGTCGAGGCCTTGAGACGAAGGTCTTGCAAACCTACATCACCACCCTCGCGGTAGCCGACACGACAATAGCCCCCACGTTTTCTACCTGGACTCGAGAGGCAGCCTCTTATTCAAAATTTTACGCTATATTGCCGTGACCGCTGTGTGCATTTTGGCAGCCTGTTATACTTTCGCATCCAGGCATGCCGTTACCAAAATTCTATGCTCTCTCTAATCGGCTGTCGAGGTGCATCTTGGCACCAATTTTTACTTTGTCGATATCGCCCTCCCCAATCCCAGAATCACACATCAGATTACGATCATGGAAAAAGCAATCCAGATGATGGGCCTCCGCCAGAGAATCGGGATTGCGTACCATACTCCTATACTTGCCGCAACCGCCACCCAACCAGCCACATTCTCGGCTCAACAAGATCGCCTTTTTCTCGCTTTCCGCTATGGCCGCTCTTATTTGAACATAGCACTTGTTCTTGAGGATGGGGATGGCCTGCTCTTTCCTATACGCCAGGCATATCGACTCGACCTCAGTGCGGAGAGTAAACTCAGCAATCATGATTATCAGAGGGAGGTCAAGACCCAAGTAGAGGAAATGATACGGCCAGGAGGAGACGAGCTGCCCAGTCTCATTTCAGGCCTTATCCTCTATGGAGAGCTCACCGGCGACGCCGACTTACGCTCCCTTCTCGGGGACGTACTAGGGCCCCAGCTAGTAGAAGAGGCTAGGGTTTTCATGTTTGCGAGCAGCGCGGGCTTGGCAAGGCTATCTTTTGGCAACATGGACGACATCGACTTTCACTATCGTGCCAAGGCAGCATGGGGGTGCCAGTGGCGGTCAGGTCTTTATTGATGTATGAGAGGACGGAAGTGTACTTTTTGTCGACGGGCGTTGGAGGGTTACCATGATCCGTGCAAGTGCATGAAAAATCGCAGGTAGCTCCGCTTCCGTGGTGGTGGCGGTGGTGAATGTTTTCCTGCCTTGAGGGTAGTGCTCACGGGAATGAAGTACTGGGGCACCTTTTCTGCTCACCAAGTAGAAAGTCCCAGTCGGCTTACACGTCCCACCAAGGCCATGTCCTACCCAAGAGTGGCACCATTTTCCTGCATGCGCTGCCATGGCTGTAACTAGGGAGCGGGGCGGTGTCTCCTGCTTTTCCTCCCCACCCTCTCCTGAAAGCGCGAGCGAGAAAGTTGCTTTTCCCTTTTATCAAGCGCAGTCCCCAGATGGAAGGAAAGCCTTTGTGTTCATGCTTAAGAGCTGTCAAGCTCAGTCTTGTTTTCACCATAGCACACGTTACAAAATGCCTTGGCCCCTCGTATTGGTTTTGGTCGTCTTGACATGGGACTTGGCGCGCCCGGATGGGACTAGGAGGGACGGGGTTTCCATAGACAGCCCCTTGGACGACACGGCCACTCAGGATCACACTACTTCCGACTGTCTTCTCAACCCCTCGGCGACCTACTACTACGAATCCCTTTGCCTGAAAGCTCATTACCATTCCAGACTCATGAACCGACTTGAAGCAATCGTCTAGCCAGTGTATGACAGACCTTATGAACCAGCAGGACGGCGTTGTTGCCTTTTCTGCAGGTCATCTCAAGTTTGATGATAATAGTTGCAGCGACGAGCAGAAAGATTTCATTGAGACAGCAGCATGGGACGCCCTCACCCTGTCCATTTTTGCTGCTGTGCCGCCTACCTCAGGCAAGGAAATTGCGGTATGGAAAACGTGGATCGGCCCTGATTATATTACCCAGCAACAACGGATTTTAGGTGAGATGAGGGCCTATTTATTTATTTTTTAAATTCTTTTTTCGAAATTCCAGCTTAACTTTGGCTAATCTCGTCCTAGATAACCTTAAAAGAGTAGCCGATCTTCAAGCTTATAAGAACTTTGATGCCATCATGAGTTGTAAAGACACCAAGAATCGATGCGGGCGGACGATTGACGGGAAAGATGTTGGCGGTTATGCTTGGACGGTGAATGGCTGGTTTTGGAATGCCTACTATATAACCCTCTGCCCCGTCTGGTTCGGTCTAAACAGCCTTGAGGACACCATCACCTTTATCGAAGCTGAACCCCAGAAGGGCCAGCCCAGGTACGCGCAGGAGGCTGTGTGGCAGAGAAGCGCAGGCCAGTACCTACTGCACGAAATCAGGCACCTAGGTGCGGTCGGCCAACCTCACGATAAGTTATATGGCAACCCAGCAGGGAGATGGAAGTAGAAAGCACACTAACCAACTACGAGTTGCCGATGAGCGTGTTACGCCTGGTGGCAACGAGGTCAGGGCTTACGGTCCCCGTCTTGTATACAAGCTCACCCAAGGTCCGATCAACCAAGGAGGCGGAGCTGCTTGCGCCAGCACGAATGCCGACAGCTATGCCTGGCTTGCAAATAGCCTCTACTTTTGCGATCTGACAGGCTTCTTTCCGAGGCCACCTAAATACCGTGAGATGACGGCCATTGATAGCTTCAATGTTGATGACGAGGTGCTTGGCCAGCATGTTATCCCTCTTCTCGTCGACGATATATTCCCCGATACGACACATGCCCAGGTCATGACCAACCTCCAAACCGCACTTGGCGGAATTACGGCGAACGAGCCGACTGCAGCACTTGCTCAGCCGACGGCATCCCCTACCCCAACTACGCCATTGGCGGCATACCATTCGACCAGGAGCCGGCCCGGAACGCCATCAAGTCGTTTTGCAGTGACCCGTCCCTATGGGATCTGGTTATCACAGCATCAATTTCGTTCGGCACAGGCCAGACTCGTGACGGGAGTGAGAAGAGCATTGGTGACTGGACTACCTATTTTAATGGCGTCTATCTGATCTGGACAGGCATCTCCTTCTCCCGCATGGCATGCATCAGCTTCTTTGACTTCACAACGGAGACTACCGATCAGGAAAAGCTGGAGCATTGCACGGCACGGTTTGGGGCCATAGTCGATGGCCGCCAGACTAACACGTCCACTACGAAGCTGGGAGGCTCCCTCTACGATGTCTGTGCCGTCTATACGCTAACAGCAACGCCGACGGGCGAGGAAGTCTTCTTCTATCCTTGGTTCACCGACCTCGGCAGCAAGGTCTGCCAACCTACTGACAAGGCTATCGGCACCCCCCGGACCCAGAAACGAAAGATGCACCGCAGCAACGGGTCAGACATCAAGATGAAGTCAACTTGGATAGCGAAATACGTTTGCTGGCGCCAAGGGTACGTGATCTTGAGGAAGATGTGGCGAAAAGGAAACCCGAGGAGAAGAGGAGGGAGCTCGAAGAAATTGAAGCGAGGAAGAAGCGATCCGAGTATCTGGGCGAAGCCGAGCTCGGCAAGCATGAAGTCGAGGGCTTGATCAATCTGAGGTTGAAACAAAAACAGGAAGTTGAGAAAGCGGCCACGATGATCAAGCGCAGAGAAGATTCAACACAGCCAGAACAACAAAAGTCGGAGGACAAATCCAAGAAGAAGCCGAAGCTAAGCCAAGACGAGCTTGAGCTAAAGCAACTGCAAGATGAGAAGCGGGAAAAAGAGAATCAGCTCAAGAGGACGACCGAACGAGAAGATGCGAAGTTCGCAAGAGAGAAAAAGAAGGTCAGGGATGAGAACGCTAAGTCATCGACCGCGCCACAACTAGAAAAATAATTAGTACGCTGAAGAAGGCGATTGGGTTTGAGTGGAAAAAGCCCAAGATTGAGCAACTCGCGCAGAAATTGGATAAGATCCGCATCCTTCTCTACTCTGAAGTCATGTTGAGCATTCAGAAGTCGGTCTCGAAGCTCGGGAAGAGCCAAGGGGACACGGAAGATCTGTTCCAAGTGCAAACCTCCCATCTCCAGCTCATCGATGACAACGCGAGGAAAAGACACGACGCCGTTCTCCAGGCGATCGACTCTTTTACATCGCGATGTTTTGAAGAACAGCCAATGGCTTTTCCCGGCGCTCCCCAAGATTCTCACCGAGGCCAATCCATCTCTGAAGTCAGCGGCGTTGACCGGCTACAGCATGATTGAGAACGCAGTCCTGGCGGCCTTGCACTTCCGAAAGATGGACACGAGAGAAATACAGGTTCAAGAGGCTTACCCGAAAACCTATTCTTGGATATTCGAAGATGCTGGGACAGAGGAAGGCGAACATCGCTGGAACAGCTTCCGTGCGTGGCTTGAGGTAGAAGATGAGAGGTGCTATTAGATCAGGGGTAAACCTGGGCGCGGGAAGTCGACGCTGATGAAGTTCCTATACTCAGACCCTTGGATCCTCGCCGCTCTTCAACGATGGGCAGAAGCTTCTGGCGAGCTGATCACAGCGTCCTTTTTTGCTGGCGATCAGGGACACCTCTACAAAGGAAGGCTGTTGTCGGCCAGTCCTCCATGATCAAGGCTGTCATATCATCACGGCCCGAGCCCGTATTCATCGAAGCATTCCGCTACTATCCGACTCTGCGGATGGAGCTCCTCACCGCTCATGACATTGAGCTCTACATTCGGTCGTAACTTCTTTCCCACAGCAGGATGAACAGCTAGGGACACCAAGGCTCTCAGCTGGTGGAAAGCTTCGTCTCCAGCATCTCGAGGAAGGCGTGCGGTGTGTTCCTCTGGGTGTTTCTTGTTGTCTGTCTCCTGCTTAAATGTCTCTCCGAAGGCATCTACTAGAAGAGCTCGAAGCAATTGCCAACAGATACCCAGAGGAGTTGCATATGCTTTACAAGCACATGCTTTTGAGAGAATAGAACCGCTGCACCGGGCCGAGGTTTTCCGTCTCTTTCAGACCATTCATCACGCTCAGGCCCTTGAATCGAAAATTCCGTCCGCTCTCCGCCTATCATTCGTGTTTAGAGACCGACCTGATTCCGCTATCAGCATGCCATTGCAAATATTGACCCCCGAGGGGATTGAAGGACGACTATCCCTATTTGGGGACCGGCTCAGAAGCTAATGCTGTGGGTTGTTCGAGCTCAAACGCTTTGATATCTACGCGTCTGAATCTACAGAAGTCTCCCATGTTCCAGAGGGAAGTGCGGAGTTTCTGCACCGGACCGTATCCGACTTCCTGAGTGACGACAGCGTCCGAAGCTTGATTGAGACAGAGACCCGGGTTATCAACCACGAGATTTACGAAAGACTAATGGCTTCAGTAATGCACTCGTTCAAATCCTGAAGGTTTTTTCGCCTTACCAACAGGAAGGAATAGACCAAGTTCATCCGTGAGATTACCTCGTTTCTCGCCTACTACCAGCTTTCCGCGGTCATGACTGGATCTGATCAAGTCACGAGGTTCATTGACGAGCTTGACAAGGAGCTGCAGCACTTTCGGAGAGTCCGGGATCTCGAGACGCGATCCAAGGCAGCCAGACTAGCCTTGGGCAACTTTGATTGCCACTGGGCCGAGTCCGTCCTCGTATCTCCGCCAAAAGCCGAAGAACGAGCCCGACGAATGCCCACTCAAATGCAAGAGCATTACCAGCTGCTAAATTTAAAGGTGATGGTGAAAGAATCAAGGTGTCTGAGGTCGAGATGCTCGACGCCTGGATCCAGGTGGTGAGGATTTTTATCAGTTCGGTGCCTCCATCGACTAGAAGTTCAACAACAAGTCTTTGCAGAGGGGAGGAAGAGCCGGCACTGTAAGGGAGAAAGTTTTGAAGACAATTGCGGTGTTAAGAGCAAGAAGGGATCTCTCATCGGAAGGCTTAATCATAAGACAGGAGGCTATAATGAGGTTCGATCAGTTGCTCGCTAAGAACCCTCCTAACACTGTCACAGCTGGAACAAACAGTGCAATCAACGGCTCGGAAAACACGGATGCGTTAGTTCTATCTAGTTGAAAGCACGGAAGGGGTCTCGCACTCTGTCAAAGAGAAAAAGAAAAGACGGCTAACAGCGGCGAAGATGGCCAACAATACCGAAGGTGACAAGCCGGAGGAGACATCAGGCCCAGACCCAAAGGTAATAACCGAGTTTTCTTGTACGACGATATGGCTACTCCGCAGCGCAACATCCCAAGGAGACCGGCTCAAAAACAAAGTACACTGAGCTCCCCTGGACTATTTCTCAGATATCCTGGAAAGCAGGTATCAGGTGCAACTTGACCGTCTCGAACAACGACAAACCGCATGTTGTTACCCCATGGTGGAATCCACCGTTTGTCCGCATTATCCAGTCTGCCGAGGAAGCTATCCACGAACACGACGCCACAGAGCTAGGGACGATATGTCTCTACACCAACGGAAGTTCTATTGGCGGCCACGTCGGCGTGCTAGGCAAAGAAATGGCAGACCCAGCCGCCAAGAAGGCCGCAGGTTCTCATGCCGAGCCACCGACAGAGCCACAACCCCCGCGGACACTCATTGCAACCACGAAGCTCACCGTTCGCTAGGCGATGCGAGGCGAATGGGATAATGCCTGGGAAACCGCCAAAAACGGTAGAGAACTCTTCAGGCTTGGGGTGCGGCCGGGCAAAACGACGCTCAGCACACACCGCAGAACACACAGAGCAATCAGCTCGGCAATCACACAGATGCGTACGGGCAAGATCGGCCTTCGGGGCCTACCTCCACGCCATCAACAAGGCCGACACCGACCAGTGCCAATGCGGCTACGGCCCGCAAAAGGTTCGGCACATCCTCCTCGAATGCCGAGATTGGACACATGAGAGACATCAAATGTGGGTGGAACTTGTCGGACTTGCTGGCCGCTTCGCGGGTTGACGCGATGAATTTATCATAGCCTCTCACGCAGGTTTCTACGGTCGCGACAAGGCCCGGAAGGCCTAGTGAGCCAAATACGATGTTCGGGGCGTCCATGGTTGCCCATGGGTTTATTATATGGGGGGAAAATAAACCGGGGCACCAAATTTGGCGAGAGAGGGACCCATCGTCACAGCAGGCAACTTTGGTCTGAGGGAGGGGGGTACGAGGCCTTGAGGGCCTGATCTTCTCGCGAAAAATGAACAGTTTTCGCCGTTTTTCGCGAAAAGGGGTGACTTTGCAACCCCTGTTGCAAGCGCTTACGCCAAGATGTACTGCATGGGGCCCTGATTAGTCCAACTAGCCGTAAATAGAGTAGATTGCCAAGCCCAAGGAGACTCACCGCCTTCGTTGTTCAACGCTGGATGGTGTGTTCGTTGTGGCCATTCTCTCCAGTCTGGCCAGTCCAGCTGCCAGAATGAATAAAGTCGCCATGGGAGGTTTGTCGGTTAGAAGGTCATTCTATTTGGGAGCAAATCTCTACACAAAACAGATCACCAGCCAGCTTCACGACGTCCTCGCGCGCTCACTCGCATTCTTGTTACTTTTTACAGGAGTGGAACAGGGCCCTGTCGCCAATTTTGGCCATTTTTCGCGAAAAGAGGCACCCGAAAAGCGAGATTTGAGTATTCGCCAAAACTCAACAAAACGGCAGTATTTGGTCATCACGGCCCAGTTTTCTGGCTTATTGCAGTTAGCCACGGCTTGCATTAGCTCGGTACATTGGCTTCATGGGGGGTTCAGGGGTGGCGGGCGGCTTCCCATTTTTCAGGCGAAAAGTGCTGCCAAAAACGGGAAAGCGTCCCGGAAAACACTGTCTTGGCATGGCTGGGGTGCTCGCTTTTGGCGAAAAGCCATGAAAAATGGCCATTTTTTCGCGAGAAGATCAGGGCCTAAATAGCGAAGAATCATGCCCGTAGTGGGGGAGCCGGTTGAAATGTACCGAACGAGTTTCGGCGGCACGGCACGAGCTAAGTCGTTCGGGATGGGAAAAGGGGCTCGCGAGCCTGGGCGGCACCGTGGATACGCCAATGTTCGAGTTGCTTGAAAGGGGACAACTGCCCTGCTCTCCAAGGTAAAGGGCCTGAACGGTTGTTTGGCTGAGATGGCGGTACTTGGATCTTCGAGCCGGCTTAGCCAGGTCTCTAAGAGAGACCGTAGTACCAAGCTAACTAACTTGTTGGTTTGCGCAACCTCTCTTGGTTTCCGCGCCACTGTACTTCCAGAGAGCGGTGGTCTCCATAGCAGGATACATCGGCGCACACCTGAAATCGCTTCAACGCCCCTCCTATGAATGAGCAAGGAATGCAACGTGATCTGCCAGCTGGAGCTCATCTCTCTCAGTTGAGGGATACATGTGCTTGTGTTAGCTTCAGTGGGTGAGTTGCGGTACGACACCTCTGAGCTTGGATTTTTCGTCGCCCGGTGAAGTCTTTCGATGGCTTGGTGCAAATCCTGGCTCGCTCAACCTTGGAGTCCACAAGTGAGGCATCCATCTTCTAGAACTCTGAGAAGGGATAATTGAGAGACACTGGATCCACAACTCTATTGCTTATCCTCCCGACAGTGACGGCTGCCCGAAACCCCACCTCTTCAGCCCATCGAGTGGTGCTGCCGTCGCCGTGCTTCCGCTAACCAATGACCTTCGTGGCCCCGCTGGGCCTGACATGTGGCATGCCCTCTTACGCTTTGATCTACGCGCCTTGGGTTGTAGGCGGTCTTTCCGAGGGGCTGTTATGAACAAATCAACCAACTCCTGACGAAGCCGTTCCGGGCTCACCTTGTTACCCCAATCGCCGACCGGTTGTCCGTTCATCCGCAGCGTAGCGTTACGTATTACCATCAGGCCACAAGAGGAGCTGTCCTTTTGCTGGGGGGCAGGGCTGATGAACCTCCTTTGGTCCGCTGCTCTGCCATGAATGCTCCAGGACCACTCCGCAGAGGGGATGACGAAAGACGCAGCCCGTGACATTTTCGGAGACATTATGGATGATTTGAGAAAGAAACGAGAGTTGGAATGGAACATGTGGACAGCCCATGGAAAAGGACCCGACGACCGCCCACTCGGCGCATAACCGCGGATGGATGTTGGCGGGGGAGACTCGCCGGGAGGTAGTTCCGGGGCTCGGCCTCGTACAAAGGCTCGACGGTGGTCAAAAAGCTCGCCTGGGCTGTCAAGTTTGTGGGGGCACGACGCGGTACGCTGTCTCGTACTGACACCACGTGCTGGCCTTGTTGTGCCTGAGCCGCCAGCCGCACACGTCTTCGACCATGTCGACGTCCCTCCGGGTCTTTGCCGTGTCGACCGGAATGGCGCACTCCGCAAGCACATGCTCTATCCGCTGCTCGAGCACGCCCAAGAGCGCGTGGGAGCGGGCCCCGATAATCACACCGCGGTGAAAGATACAGGGGGGGCCGCGGTCAAAGTGCCCGACAGGGATTCTAGACTCTATGCGTTTGCGGACGGTCTCGAAGTCTCTCGACGTGCACTGTTTCTGGCGGTTCGTGAACGTCACAGGACCTCAAGGTAAGGCACCGAGCTCGGCATCGAGGTCCGGAATGGCGGGGCTCGTGGGGGCCGAGGAAGGAGTCGGGAAAGGGGTAGAAGCTAAAGCACACGCATGTCGAAAATTGGCTTGCGACGCGAGACTTGATCGCCCGTAAGCGTGGCCGACGTCGAGGCGAAGGTGTACCGGCAATGCGAGACGGCCTAGATCGAGCCAGCCTCGCTCATCTCAAATCAACCATGCTGAATCCGGCGGTGGCCCGAGGCTACGAGGTCATTGATGCTGCGAACAAGGTCAAGGTCGCCGGCCCGCTGGCCACGCCGAAGCGCGCTCTATTTCTACGGCAGGACATCCCTTGCTGTGTCGTCCCTTGCTGTGTCGTCCCTGCTCGTATCGTGATTCGGGACGACTCCATCGACACCGCCCTTCAGTCGTTTCCCTTTTGGCAAGACATAGTACCACCCACCGACCTTCACATGGAGCGATAGGATAGTTACCGTCAAAACCCCCGGCGCACGTTGCGGGAGCGACATCGGACGCAATAATGGGGACGGCGATTTCTACGCACAGAGCCATATGTCCGCTAGGTGTTGGAAAACGGGTAAATGACCCATCGCTGCGGTTGAACCTGTAGGTGGCTTCTTGGACCAGCACATTATCCAAGGGGCATCACCAGGCTCGCGAGACGGGATTGGCCGTGCAGGCGGTATCTTCGCCTGGCTCTCGGGGGGCCGAGGCAGCATGTTTCGCTTCCCGTTGCCTTTTCGGTAGTCTGTCCGCCAGATGGCTTCTAAGCGGTAAAGCCAGGTCTTGAACGGCAACCAGTCCCTATAGCCTGTAGACTGCGAGTTCTCGTTTCTCCTCTGCCGCTAACGGATAAGTGAAGGCGCGCGTCAGACGTGAAGGCACGCGTCATACACAGTGATGATGAGCTGCTCCTCGTCGACTTGCTAGTCTACGTACTCTCGATCGAATGGGCTAGTGAGCTCAATATAATCGATCTGCTTGGGCTCTAGTTGGTAGTAAAGCTCGTCCACTTGGGAGAGCGATGGTCTAGGTGATGGACGGGCCGCCCTGAAACTCGGCAGGTAGCTGTACCAAGGCCAACTCTTTCTCGTCCGCGAGCGGGCGGGCGGCATATCCCCACCATCTCTTTATCAGGTCTTCCATCAGATCACGCTGGTCCGAACGTAACCCCTCGCAGATCATGGTAAGGCGCGCGACGAGCCACGATAGCTTCTGGGGCGTGTCCTCGAGGGTGGCGTGTTGTCAAAGGGGGGTGCAGACGCGCTCGGCCAGTTGCCTGGGATCATCGTACGCTCCTCGGCGCTTGGCATGTCGGGAGCCAGTACAGGAGAGGAAGGACAGCAGCCGATTATTCTGCTTGGTACACTTTGATGCTCGGGCGCAGGCGTACGAGCGAGGAAGCCGAACACCGTGGTCGCCAGAAGAATGAGGGAAGTAGCGGTGACCCTGAACTTGGTGTGGAAACCCAGCAACCACGAGTCCGGCTCTCCGGATGCAATAAGAAGAGAATGAGAGCATAATAAAAGAAAAAGGAAGAAAGAAATATTGACAGGAGAGACGGGAAGACTAGGCAGCTGCGCCGCTGAGGTAATCGCTTGCGCAACGGGCACGAAGTAGGAACAGCAGATCAATTGGCTTTGCGCGCCGTAAATGTAGAATAGGGACGAAGACGGAGGAATAGGGGTGAAGACGGAGCGCGATCTCGCGTGTAGGGGGGTTAGGAAGGAGGCGCATACCCAGGTCTATAGCAACAGTCGTAGCGTAAACAAAGCATACATTACATCGGACAATTAGGTAGCACTGCAAGATCACTTGGTGCCCACGTATCTTCGTCATTGGAGGTCTTCTCAACAGAAGAGCCTTTGGGACCTCCGCTCGGCACGAGGAGTCCTCTTTGGTTCTGAGGAGGCGCATTGCGAGGTGGTCGAAGACGGGCGTGGAATTGCGGGTCAAGCACTACGTCAAGTGCCAATAGCCCGGGACACGTGCATCAGCTGCCAGCCACCATCTGAAAGGCAGAAGCGGCAGTCCATTAGCTTCGGACTGGTCGAGACTTGTTCACTTTTCGAAGACGGGGCTCCTAGAATTACGGGTCACGCACTACGTCAAGCGCCAACAACAGCCCGTGATATGTGCATCAGCAGTTCCCAGCCATCATCCGAAAAGCAGCAGTCCATTAGTGGCTGGGGACCGGTTGAGACTTGTCCGCTTGTTGTTGTCGAAGACTGGCCTCCTGGACCCGCAAGTTCGTCGAGGACGATATGCGTGCGCACGTCCCGGGCGAGCCGCGCAAAGATGTGGTAGACGAGCACTCTCCGATACCATGAATGTGTCGTAACGTCCAGAATGGGGTAGCAGAGGTATAGGCGCCTCGCCTATTCCGTGTGAGGTCCGCTTCAGAGTGTAGGTGAGGACAACGACGCTGTCCCGAGGTCACCTTGGTTTGCGAGTCGTCAGTCGGGTTGAGGAAGGCGACCCTTTGGATCTTGCAAAATCCGCTCTTCTCCGCCCAATCCAGTTCCAGCGTCTTGGTATTGTCTTCGTGCTCTTAACGGAGAAGTATAAGCGAGCCCCCCCGTTTCATCTTATAGGGTAAAACAACGAAAAGACGCCCAAAGTCCTGATCCGAGTGAAAGCTCAGGATTATAATATACTATTTTTAGTATGACCCGAGCTACATATCTACAGAGTAAGGACCACGACTCCAATTAGCGACAGTGCCACATCCTTTAGATTGACAGGGTTTGGCCTAGACGTGGCGACCCAACAAAGAAATCGCCCCACAACGAAATCTCTGCCCCTGTCATCTAATTTCCCGCCCTTCAACTTCAACACAACACAACTTCATCAATTCAGGCTCGAATAGCTTCAAAATACATCATGTCGAACCGTCAAGAGCAGCTAATTCAATCTGCAATACTTGCAGTTGAACAGGGCGCATCGCAGAAGCAGGCCGCGCATGACTTCGGGATCCCTCCTTCTACCCTCTGCAAACGCATCCACGGGGCAGAAAATCGAGCACAAAGTAAACAAGCCGAAAGAATTCTCTCCAATGCGCAGGAAAGCTTCCTAGCCGACTGGTGCCTCAATGAGGAGGCTGCAGGCAGGGCTCCTAGCCGTCGTCAGGTGCAGAGATTCGCTCAAGCTATACTCAATGAGGCCGGCACGAAAAAGACCATTGGGGAGCGATATGTGGACCGCTTCCTACGCCGCAACCCGGCGGTAAAGATGAAGAATTCAACCTTGTTGGAATCCTCTCGAGTCTGCGGATCTACTCGTGAAGCTTATGAAGCTTTCTTCAAGCGCCTGGCCTTCCAAATCAAGGATAAAAAGGTCATCCCGCCCAACATCGCTAACATGGATGAGCACGGCATGCAGGAGCTCGAGACCCGGGCCGGAAAGGTCATAGGAAGCTCCCTGACGAACCGAACCTACGTGAAAAGCTCTGATGCAACAACCTGGGTTTCAGTTATCGAATGCGGCACTGCTGAGGGCGTTCGTTTGAAGCCCGTGATCATATTTACCGGGGCCAGTCTTCAAGGACAACACTTTCCTGATAACTTCAACCTGACGAAGGAATTCCGGGAATGGAAGTACGATTACTCAATTACAGGCTGGAGCAACGCCAGTATTGCGCTGAAATGGCTCAAAGAGGTCTACCTGATCCAAACAAAGCCCCAAAGGCCGGGCGAATGGCGTATACTGATCCTTGACGAACATTCGAGCCATATGAACGAAAAATTCATGTTAGCGGCCTTCCAAAATAAGGTCCAGTTCGTCTATTTACCTTCTCATACATCGCACAAGTCTCAGCCTCTCCATCGCTCGGTCTTTTCACCTTTAAAGACCTATTTTAGGGAAAATACCAAGGCCCTCGCGAGCTTCACATCGTCAGCTCCTGTCAACAAGGTTCGGTTCCTTTACTGCTACAGAGATGCCTCGGGTAAAGGCATGAGTGCCCGTAACATCATGTCGGGCTTCAGTAAAACCGGGATTTGGCCCTTCAACCCGGCTTGTTTACTTGATGACCCTGAGGCGGTCAAGGACAATGAGGCACTCCCGGCCCGGCCTTCAACACCGCCGCCGACGGCCCCGAACGACGATGACAGGCTCTTCAAAACACCGCACGGCAGTCAGGACATCAAGAAGTACCAGGACAGTATTCGGAATGCCCTCAGTCCGGCTCAGCGGCGTGTGCGGGCCTTGTTTACTAAGGTCGGGAGGTCCCTGGATCTGAAGAATACAGAGATCGCGTCTTTGAAGGCACAAATTACGCATCTCACAACCGAATTAGAGGCTTCAAAGCCTCGCACGCGTAAGAGGGTATATGAAGATGGAAATGAGCGATTTGCACGTATAGAGGACATCGCCAAGGCACAAAAAGCTAGTCAAATACCCCCAAAGCGGAAAAAAACGGCTCGGGCAGAAAGCCAGCCACATGCAGTCGAAGAAGCCCGGGAAATAATCGCCCGTGGGCTCGAACAATATAGACAGGCCGAAGAAGAGGATTGAGTATTTTTTTGCTAGTTATTTTGTGTAGAAATGGATAATTTGCGCCCGTGGAGTGGGTGTGGGCATGGCGTGGGCCAATTTCGTTGTGGGGCGATTTCTTTGTTGGGTCGCCACGTCTACATCCAACGAGCTCAGAAAAGCTCTCACTTCCTGGGACCTGGGAGAGCCGTAGCCTGGGTCTAAGAGCCGGCCAATTACATCCAGGATGCCGTAGTCGTGCGGGCTAAAAAATTGACTATGAAGTCGTTCTGGACCTTTTCTAGCTCAAGTAAGGCTTCCTTGAGTTTTGTCTCGGCTGAGGACTTGGCGGTATTAGCATCCTTGCAGCGTCCATCAGCGGCTCGACGTTAGGCAATGGCCTTGTCTCGGCTGGTGATCGCGGTGGCGCTCTTGACGGCCTTCTCTTCTTTGGCGATCGCGAGGTCTCTTTGTTGCTTAGCCTCGGTATTTATCTCTTTAAATGCACATTGAAGTCTTGTAATTGCTTGCTCTGCCGTCTGTTGGTCTCTGAAGAGGCCGAGAAACTGGTCGAGACGTTGGATGGCTGGATGGATCCAGGAATGGCTGCCCGCGGCCTCGGGCGCGCCTGCGATCCGTTTCGAATGCCGAATTATAGCATCCCAGAAGTTCATAACTAGGGGCCCAATCATCCACACCAGTGCAAGAGCAAGTGTAGCTTAGAACCACACCGTCGGAAATGGAGGTCGGACGTTGTCCTCTATCTGGCGAAGTGTGTCCCCCACCTCCCCAAGAAACTGGTCGATCCTACCGATATCAGCTCCGGCCGGGATGCTGCCCAAAACAGAAGCAAGTACCGTAATGATCACGGTCATGATCATTTGGAGACGCGCCATTTCGCTATCCCAACTATTAGTTTACGCGGACGCTTGGTTGACAGCTTGACAACGAGTTTGAAGGTTATATGGCTGTGGCTGGGACGAAAGAAGCTGGGTTAACTGCACTACGGCAGCAGCGGAGCCAACAAACAGATGAGGGTGTGACAGCAAGTAAATACGTCGCGAAAAGGAAGATTACAACCGGAAAACTGGATGTACACAGACGATGAAGAGTAACAACACGACGATGAGATCGTAGTAACTCTTGGTGACAAAGAGCAACAAGAAGATAGTTAAAAGGTAGCAGTCTTGGCGACGAGAAAAAAACATTGACAAGATAGAACCAGAGTTATGACCTCGAGTTTTAAAAAAAATTTGCTTGCATATGTATCTAGCAAGAGCGGCCCTGTACGCAGCCCTTGATAGGAAGGATCACTTTGGTAAAATCGCCACCTAGCTTTTGTAACTGGGTACCGCTACGCCAGCAGACAAAACAAGATCCCCGCAACAGATCTGAATCGCCAGGTTACTAGCAAGACTTGGAATAAACTTGAATCTGCATCCCCCAGTAATGTGAGACTCTCTTGCATCAAGTACGGTATTATTGGACAGTCATCTAGGTAACTGGAAAGAAATACTTAGACTGATAGAACACACCGTCCGCAGCACATGAAATTATCTGGCGTGTGCCGAGGCGCATCTCCTTGGTTATACCTTCCTCGCTATGACTCGGCACTTCGGAGATTTCGGTAACTGGGGGAGGGGAAACAGGGGGTTTGACCTTTTTGAGATATTTGGGGGCGTTTATTTTCTCGTGCAGATTGAGAAGCTACTCGTTAATCGGCCACCAGTAGTTGAAGCAACCACGCTCGATTATTTTACCGAGGCAGAAGCTTGATCCTGGCTGCTCCAAATCTTTCGGGGCGCCCTGGTAAAACGCGCTGTCGGCCCTGGACACCTCCTATCCAAGGGAAGACAAGGTCGACTTTCGATAAGTCCAATAGTAACATCGTAGCTTTCATATGGGGCTCGTCGGCCACGCGCATCGGCGGCGAGTATGGCAAGAACGTAACTACCTTCATAGACACCGCGTATTAATTAGTACTCTGTACTTCCGACTCATTCCAAGTCCGCGAGGAACAAGTGGTAATCTTCTTTCTCTACGTAAATAAGGGTAGCGGTATACGTCGGCGACGCCAATCTGATTTATACGAGGCCAACCAAAGACATCAGTGCGCTCTTTATCATCGGTGATATCCACTAGGTAATCTCTCCCCAGCACCTATTAGGGAACAGGACTAGGTGGCGCCAAGGTTTACAATACAGCTAGTAGCAGCAATAGCGGGAAGGTCCGGGTCAAGAGAAGAAGGAAGTGCATGTACCTAAACACGGTAACATTGCTCGTATATTGAAGCTGCGAAGCGCAGCTTCTACCTAGCGGCTTCAAACGAGTGCCCCGGCTTTGGGTACAAATTTTGGTAGTTGCTTTCTGTTCTACATTCCTTTAATTTATCTACGAAATCGGCAAGCAAAAGATGACGGGCTTCGATAATAGTTGATACAGCTCTTGTCTCTGCACAGCATCTTCGGTAAGCCTTGTAGCGAGGATGGGGACAAGTCGGGGTCAACAGCGTGATACCAGTCGGGTCCGGGAGTGACGGCAATGCCGCTTTTCCTGTTCACGCTGGTGTGGACTGTAATGCTCCTTGAGTAGTAGGCGACCAAACAGACGGAGTCCGGTTGGATCTGAGAACATGATCTCCGCATAGTTACATGCTCTCCAAAAAAATATGATCCGTGACATCTGCCGAAACTGTGGCTAGCCGGACAAGGGCTGAAGGAGTCTCGACGGAAGATTTGTCTCGTTCGCTTGGATGGGCGGGCGAGAATCAAGCTCTGGTCGCCCCCTGTCTCGTAGAGGAGGCACTGACACCCGGCGAAGTTGAAGCATGCCATCTCGGGTAGTGGAAGGTGAGGTCGAGAGGGGAAAATTATATCCGCTGCGCCTTGTCGATGCCTCTGGAACAGCCTCCTCACTTCCGATGCGGGCATCCGCCCTTCCGGCGTGAGGGAAACGACGCCGAACCCGCTAGGGGGGGTCCACTCGAATAGTAACTCCACGCAGTTTGGTGGCTGGGACTCCGCATTGAGACTGGCTCGGGGCCAGGTTGGAGCACCCTTGGCTCTGCAGCGCATGTCGTGGCTGGGGTCTCGGCACTCACTCCTGAAGCCGTCAAGGCAGACTTGGCCGTCGTGGGAATTTTGCTGCTGCTGCCATTTGGAAATGTAGGGTTCGATGTCGGCCCACGAAATGTTTACATGCTGGCACATCCCACGACGCTGGAGCCATCCCCCTTTGTTAGGAACACCGGGCTGGAGGATGCATTCGTCGCACATTCCATCCATATATATTCGAGGCAGAAGTTCGTCCCCCACGTCTTTCGGAAGAGAGCACAAGCACTCCGAAATCCAAATTCTGGATGTCCATGAAGGCCCCATACGCATGACCTTCCAGATTTCTGGCTCGTCAATGATGCGCCGAAACCTCCTTGCCACTCGCCGGAGGCAGAGCATGGTGAGCGGATCGTCGCCTATGCAGCGAAGAACTTGAAGCACAAGCTCGTCGGGCAATCGGTGGATGGGGCTGTGCTTCATGTTGTAGACAAGGGCCGCTATCAAGGGGTCCATCCCGGTGCTCTCCATTTCTCGGAGGGTGAGGAGCATTTGCCGAGACAGATGTCGGGGGTGCTGCTTTTCAAGTTGCTGGCCCGTGTCGACTTGTTCTGCTGCGTCCTCCGTGTTAGCCGTATCCGATTCTTTGATCTCGTCGTCGCTATCGGCGTCGTCCTCTGTTGCGGTTTCTCTGCGCCTACGCGGGAAGGCCTTCTTGATCCACGTGATGAGAGTGCGCATTTTGCGCATGATGATCTGCCGAAACGGCCGTAGTGGTCTGGTAACGAACATCCGGAGGGTGGGAGAGCAGAGGCTGAGCAAACTGCATGGCCGGTATTAATACCTCATGGGAAAAGCCAAAATGACCTGTCACCGCAAATGTACCCACGCCATCGGGAGCTTCGGTGTCGTGGCTTGCAGTGACAACCTTATTTAACTCTCGAGTTACGTCGGAAAACTCGGTCACGCCGCAGTCTCGGTGAACTTAGATTGGCTCGGGTGTGAACGTAGGAAATAACTTAGCGAGGAGAGGCAGCCGTCTGCGTACGCGTATTAGCCTTCTCGGTTGGGGATTCACAAGTTATCTTTAGCGTAGCCGCGTGATAACCGTGTTCGTACAGCAATGTCAAATCGCCTCGAAACCCAATGCTATATAGATTCCGCCGTAGCCATTCAAGAAACTTGGTCCTCTTCTCGTCGTGCTTTGGCTGCGAACTTGTGCCGGGCGAGAGTGGGGCGGGGCCCCATTTTAGCGATTGCGCACTGCGAGTCTTGGGCGGCGAACACTCACGTCACAGCCAGCATCTTCTGGTGGACCGCCTTCAGCGCATCGACCGGTCCCGCTTGGGCCTAGAAAGACCTTGGAGCTCTGCCCGCCTCCCTTAAAAGCACGGATCATTCAGCGCCCAATCCAAAACTGCTCCTACACTAAAACCGGAAAGCAAGGAAAGTGGCGGTGGCTCCCCTACAAGCCGAGGCATCGCTTGCCCACCTGCCCATCTACCCACCTGCACACCCATCAAGATTCAAAAGACATTGTGCGTCCCTGAGCCACAACGGCTACCTGTGCGATGCGATGCTTTATCACAACCGGGTCGGGGGCGGGAACTGGGTCTTGGACTTGCGGGGTCTTAGGCTTGCGGGGTCTTAGACTTGCGGGGTCAGAGGCTCACCAGTGCCTGCGCCTGCAAGTCCTTTGTTTCAGCCCTCACGTAGTCCCACAAGGTGTTCGAATCTCCCTGCATTTCCCCTGCCTGTGTTTTTAATTCCTCCCTTCCCGTTTTCCTGTTTGCTGCCTAATCCAACCCACACCTTCGCAACGGCAACTCGCTCCCCGGCAGGCCTGGGTAGGCTGGGCTGCCATCATCCACTCGATTGAAGCCGGCATTTTTCCGTCTGCGGTTCCGGGTTCGCTACCACGAGTCGCTGCCATTGCCTTGGCTGCGACGGCTCGCTCCGTCGGGGAATTAGGACGGCATCGTTCGTTGTCAGCGAAAGACGTACAGAATCAGCTTCTCGGGCCCGGGACGCATCGTACGACCACCACCCCTGACTCTGGGACGCAGCTAACTGGAAGCTACAAGACTCTGTTCACCGCGTTTGAACAGTGCTTGAAACTTTGCTGCGGCTCTGGTTCATCTTCTTGCACCTCCTTCCAGATCCTCTACACGCGGAAGCAAGCTTGGAGACTTTCCACCCTTGCGCGGACGGGCCTTTTGGGGTAAGCTCCCTTCCGCTCTACGTCTTAAGGAACCACGATGAGCTAATACCCTCGATATCAGGTTGGAGATAGGTAACGCATGGCGTTCCCGAATTGATATGGACGACGGGGACTATGTGCGATTGTGGATGGACCGCATCGGCATATATATAGACGAGATCACCCAAGATAAGAGAGAAAAATTTATCACGAATGCGATTTCCTGGTCCATCAAGACACCTCCTTCCAGATCCTCTGCGTGTTGAAGGGCCTCTGCAATACCGAACCCTCGCCCTTAACAAGCCGAGCTCGAGAGATCGTCGAGAAATCAGCCACCGCCTACGACGCTAGACTCGTCTACGGCTGCGGACGTTTCATCCGAGCCATTGCCATGGCAATAGCATCCTGCATTGCTTCGAGAAAGAACAACAACATCCAGGCCATGGCCCCTTGGCTAGGATTGCGGTCGAGAGTACTGGGCAATTTCGAAGTTCTGACGGCATCCTACCCCCAGGTGTTCCTCCTGGGAGGATTCTATGGTGAACAGTGCCTCGTAGCCACTTTTTGGGCACGGGAAGCAAACGTCTACCGTCGGCACGGGCGGGAAACTAACGTGAGAGCACAAGACGCCATCCTATCAAACAACAGCATTCTCAGATTCGATGTGGACGGCGTGCTGAACCGCTATGAGGTCAGCCAGCCCTGGTCTGTTTTGCCTTTCCGTGATGACCGACACCGCGGTGTTAAAGCATTTGGCAAAGGATTCGAAAGCTGTCGGATATGATGATGTCGTACTTGGTAGTGCGGCTTTGTTTCACGCGGGTCTGGCTCCAAGTCCCCGGCTTCAACAGGCAGAGTTGGATTCGCAATTTGCTTGACTGGGTCGCACTGCAGGCCTTGGAAACTGGTTGTAGAAACAGAGGGTAACTTATACACTGCCCCCGCAGACGTCCCTGCTTCTCTTCTCCCTTGGAAGTCCTCCATTATTCATCCATTTGCGTTTAGTTACTCTAGGATATACTAGGATATCCGCCTTCTGTATCTGTAGCCAGTCTACTAGTTAGTGGCTTTTGTAGTCTTTGTGGAGTCGGCCTCTCCGTTCCACCATGGGTGGCCGACCATCCATCCTGCGACCATCCTGACGCTTGCAACTTGATTAAATTCGGGAGTTCACAGATGGCATATGCAAGGCGAATTCCAAGCGTGCTGCGAACGATTTGAAAGATTTGTGCGTACGTATCAAGTCGCCCGACTTGCCGAACCAGTGGCGCTCCCCTCTCTCCCCGAGGACCATGCCATGGCGGGACACCACTGGGCCGCAGGGATTTTCCAGCTCCGCTCTCGACCCCTTCGCCGGCCCCGGAGCTGGGGGAGGAGCTAATCTGAGCAACACGCGCGCGGAACGCACCTTTCATCGCTTATCCGCCTCAGCAGGAACCCATTGCTCAAAGGGATCCTGGACCTTGAGGAGACAACCATGACCTTCTTGGCGTTGACGCAGGCGCCGCCCGTCAGCCCGCCAGCGCCAGCGCCGTGTCAGGTGTCACTGTCGCTTCCAACGTGTGGGAAGGCCAAACGGCAAGTTTCCATCGGGAGGAGAGGCGTCGCTACGTCCGACCGGTACCAAAGTTTTCGCACTCAATGCCGGGCTGAGCGACAACAATGGCGGTGCAGCAGCGATGGCGCCGGCAGCGATTAGATGCCACGGCAGCAGAAGCTGAAAGATGAAGCCGATAATCACTGGCGTTAAGTAGTCCTCCCCTCTATGGGAGATGCCCTTAGCCGACAGGTCCTAACTCAAGTATCTAATGCCACTTTTTTTTTTCTTTTGCTCCTTTTCCTTGTCTATGTCCACGCGATGCGCCACTTCCATCTCCCCGATTTGTTGGGATATGTCAAAGGGTACGGCCATCCAATTATGTGCGTCATGTGCTGGGCCATCTCGGCTTCCAGACGGCTGACTCTCGAAGGTAGTCGTCGTCGATGCACTCGCACCACGCCGCAGCCGCGCTGCTCAGTTCAAGCCCACTCTCTCGAAATTCCCCGGCCACTACGATCCGGAGGAATACTTGAGGCTGCCTGGCACCCTCGGAAACCAAAGTTTCCCGAAGCCAACTACGTCTAGGAAACGTGGTAGGCGAGGAACACGGGACGTTGTGGGAGGGAAATCCACCGCCGCAGGGAGCTCGCCGCAGGGAGCTCGCCGCAGCTCGTTTAAGCGCCCTGGATAACTACGCCGGCGATGAAGGCGGAGAGCTTTCAGCCTTGTACTTGAAATTCAGAACACTAACCTGTTCCCGGGGTTCCGGAGCGAGTTCGCGCTGTGCAGACGAAATCTCGGCTTTCCATCAACCATTCTCCTACACAAGCGCCCAATTCCCCCCCCCCCCCCCTTTCCCAATTTCTCGCCGTCCCGTGGCAGGCGACTAGGCGGGACGGGGAGTAGGGGGCACGGTTCGTGGTTCCCACGGGGACCCATGGTTACAGACGCTACGAGCCGTCGCTATCGGGCCCATCCTCCTCCTCGGCCGCTAGCCGCCCGTACGCGTCCCCCGAGTCCTCCTCCATCGCCTCGTATGTAGGGTGAGCCTAAACTATTCGGTTCCTGGACGGGCTGCGGCGCGGCCGAGTCGCAGGGGCCGTTGCGGCTGGCAGGGCCATGTCCTCAAACTTTGGAAGGCAAAGCGAGAAAAGGATCACCGGCTCTCAAGGGACGAATCTAACTTGGACGTAGCACCGAGATAGAAGGGAGAGGAGGAAGCCGTCATGGGCGGCGCATTTTGCAAGGCCAGTTCCTTTGAGAAGGCGACAAGGTAAGAGGCAGGTCCTTGACTCTTGAGGGAGACGTCTAGTTCGAATTACTAACAGGAGGCTGTAAAAGGAAGGCTGAGCGGTTATGATTGATGCTAGTTAGCACTAGCAGCTACTAGCGTTCGTGCTGCTGACAACACCGGTGACGCAGCAGAGGTTGCGCTAGCCCCTCGCTGGATAACAATAATCGAAATCGCTATCGCAGCAGCCGCCGGCTGGTCCCTCGAACTTGAGCCCGAATTTCCTGTCATGGTGGCAGGGATTCGGCGGCGGATCAGGATCACACGATGCGTGAGGAGTCTAAGGAGTAGCCCTCGGTCAAGCACTAGCCAAGCTCTAATACTCATGAGAAGGCCTCGAACGGGACAGGCCCGGCCGCGGCCAACACGCCGGCCGCAGATTTCTTTCGTCAGCGGGCATCGGGTGGCCGGTGGCGTGTCAGCAAACCCACTTCCGTGTCGTGTCGTGTCAGTGGAAGCAACTGCCCGGCCACACGCGCCACCCGCCATGCTGCCTCGGGCGGACGAGTATTGGCGGGCTAGTGGTTACGTGTTACAAATAAAGGAGTCAGCCCATCCCTCCGCCAGTTTCACATCCCAAGTTCTGCAACTTTCCCCACGGCACACCCTTCGTCTCGCTTTGGAAATAAGTTTGAAGAAATATGGACGCGCCGCTCTCCGACGGTGCGCCGTCTCCGACAGCGGACCCCGACGAAGCGTGAGTGAGCCTCGACGCCGCGGAAACGGCACCAACACTAGCTGTATTAGACGGCCGAGCGATGCCATGACTTGGAACGACGGCCAGCGCCCTGCCTCCTCGATTCCCGTCGGCTCACGCGAGGAAGAAGAGACCGTTGAAGAGAGAATCATCGTGATGAATCTGAGTGTACTCAGTCGCCTCCCCGCTGAGCACGAGGACATGTCTAGGCAGACGGCTTCGCACCGAGGAGAACGATAAGAAGCTGCAAGAGGCCATGACAAGGAATTCGCAAAAATCCGCCTTGGTGGTGGGGTCTCACTCGCCCTACCATGTCAAGCTGTACAGGCGTGAGCACGAGAGAGGGTGGAGTCTTGCTGATATTCACATGCCAACACCTTGATCAATACGCGCAGTGCAAATCCCGCAAGTTCTTCGCCATTCTGCTTAGATAATTTCGCATAATCTGATAGGGCTTCGGGGGCTGCTTGTCGG